TTGGTGTTCACTCTGAGGCTCGAGACCAGTACCTTTCACTTCAAATGCCATCACGTTATCCACTTAGCTATTGAGTTCAAGTAGGCACTGATTTGTGCAACGGAATGGAGTTTGATTCGTTTTCATTTGTTGTTTGAATCTTCCCATTGATACTTAGGGCTACAATTTGTCAGTTTCTTTTGTCGTATGTACATCCCGTTTGGATTGCCTCGATATTATCATTAAGTCCAAGTTTAAAATGCTAGTGACTTATCGACAATATTGAAGAAATCTGCACAGGAAGCGCGGTGGAGAAAATCGACTGACCAGTTGCAGGCCGAAGTATCAATGGGAAGATTCAAATAACAAATGCAAACGGATTAATTTATGGATTATTATTACATATAGTTTGGTTGTAAAATTATTCAGAAACTTGATTACCATATCTATGTATTCCGTTTATCAAAGCCCTCCAGCCACTCTCAAACAACTGTTCGTATTAAGTACAGTGTCGAATATTCACAGCCACTTTAGACGTATAATTATTATTTCTCATTATATGATATGATGAGGTCCATTATGTCTGTATATAAAACACGTCTGTTTGAAATATAAGCATAGTAAACGCTAGATGCTGACCTTTAGACTCAAAGCAGAGATAAACTTGTGAATAATGGGCCAATCGGAACTTAGCTGTGTCGGTCAAAGGATACAAGTACTGCTCGGATGTGTAGTTGATCGATTCAGGGACACTAGGTTATAAAGAAAATAATAATGTCGAAATATACAAACAAAAATATTGGTGCAACTATCTCGTTCGAAATCTTATCTCCATATGAATAAGTTTGCAAGTATATTTTAGACTCTGGAATAGTTTGTCACAATCTGTCCGTGAAATAAAATTACAGCCATCATATTTTGCTACATCGATGATTACCTCCCCCTTTGAAAATATTTAAACTTGTGATCATATCCTGCCCCATAGATGAAATTATTGGGAAATAAAATGATTGATCCTCCCGAGTACTGAGAATACTTACTAGACTTCCCTTCTTGAAGGTATTTAACAATCCCCGGTAAACTTGGGTAATTTATATTATATCTATCCAGATCAGAAGCTAATACAACAACTTAGCATATATATATATATATATATATATATATATATATATATATATGTTTACTGCTAGATATGCGAGCGATTGCTTCTGTGTTCTTTTTTTGGTAGTGTACATTAGGGAGGTCTGAGTCACGATAATGGGTATACTTTAATCAACAACGCATATTCAGTTTTTTAAAAAGAATAAAAATGTGTGCAAATCGAATTGGCTAGCCATGATGACGTGTCCTTCATACAGGTGTTAACATTAAGGTGTTTGTAATGAAATTGTTATTTATAATATGGTTATTGTAATATATATAACACAGAAACAATCGCTCGCATATCTAGCAGTAAACATATAGACATTGAAGCTAAATATATCTTGTGTGTATTAAAACGTCACTATTTTTATAGTCAGATCATTTTTTCAATTTTTTCCACTGAAAATTACAAAGTTCATTTATTCTATGCACATTTTCTTGTAACTGATAAGAGCCTTATGGTTATATGATGTTAATTATAGGCTTACTACACTACTTTAAATGATTACACAAAAATAACAAACAATGTTTGAATATTTTTGGAAAGTCACTCTCTTATAATAACCGTTCTTATTCAATCTGATAATCCACGTAGTTTTTTAAGCGTATTTATTAAATTAGACTCTGTGAATCCTACTATCTGTTAACATACATGCCGTTACATCAGTAGAGTTCATGGATTATAGTCATATTTTTATTTGGCCACCACTAGCTTTCTTACAGCCTAACCCCACACCACAAAACATTGCTCGTCGAGGCAGTCGCTGGTTGGACATACGTAACATATGTCTCAACCACCTCAACCGATCAAGCTTAACTGCTTCACGCATCAATTTGCCATCCTTGCCTAGTGCCCGTTTTCTAACAACAGCATTGCTTTCTCGATTGTCCCAGTATATACGAGCATGCTTAAAAGACATCGATGATCGAATATCAGTAACCTACAAATACCATCCATCCTAACTGGCCATGTCTCACAACCATTGAGTAGAGTGGAGCGAACTGATGTGCAGCATACTCATACTTTGGTTAGAAAACGGATATCTCATCTACGCCAGTCCAGTCTTCTGTATCTGTGCTGAGGTTTCGCCACACAGCAGGCCATCAGCACTGATGATACTACCGAGATAAGTGAAGCGGTCGACAAGCTCAACTACTTCATTCACCATCACTAGTTCAGGTGCTGACGCAAGTCAATCCTGAACCAACATTCTACATATCAGCGGAGAAATCTGCATCTCCCACATGTTTGCATTGCTGCTCAAGGTGGTCAGAAGACTCTGCGTTTGGTCAGTGTCTTCACTAAATAGAACTATGTCATCGCCATATTCTGGGTTAATAAGCATGTCTCCATATAGAAGGTCCATCCCTGAAAAGTTTGACGACGATAATGTTACCTCTAAAAGCATATCTGCAACAAAGTTATCGAAATTGGGGAGAGTGGACATCCCTGACAGACATAATCTGAAGTGATGAACTCTGATGACAGTTCGCCATAGGCTCTCACTCGACCACTAGTGTTCGAACAGACAGCTAGTATATGGTTAATGTACTATTTTTGGTACACCTTTTAATGAGACACTGCCACATAACCTCGCGATCGACAGAGTTAAATGACTCTTTGGGGTCGAGAAATATTACTATTGTGGGACGTCTGAACTTATTTCTTTATTCTAGGACCTGACATAGTGTGAATATTTGGTCTATAAATCCGCCCTCAGGTTGAAAACGAGTTTGGTTTTCACTAGTCTGCTCTTGACGAGCTTCTGTTAAGCGTCGGAGTATTATTGAGGCCAATATTTTCGACACTATATTAGTTAGGTTGATTACTCTGTTGTTGTCACAAGAGGACATTTGTCGCTTCCTGTAAATTGGAACAATCAGTGATCGAGACCAGTCGGATGGGATTACGTCCAGTTCCAGATGGCACCTAAGATCTCAGTCAATCTATTTGTTAGAACTGGACCACCATTCTTAAAATCTCAAGGGTAAGCATGTCAGGACCTGCAACTCTAGTTGTTCCTGAAATATATTCCTAGCTTTATTATCATTAGGTGAACCCTAAAAGGTTTATTTTGCTGTGTTTTTCCTACATCCGTTTAGTCGCGAACAAATACGTGCTCGCACTAGGACATGATCTAAATTTAAGCATGTGCCTCAGAAACAGGGACAGTCCTCTATCGAACCCCTCCATCGTTGGCTGATGGCGATATCATCTAGTTGCGTCCAACGTTGAGACGACTTTGGGGGTCGCCAGGTAAAAGGTGCTTTTCCTTATGCCTTAAAGTTAGTGTTTGCTAAGAATATGCGGTTATCTGAGCACAGTTGCAACAGACGGTCATCATTGTCTGTTCTCTGACACGCGACAACATAAGATCCACCCACGTGTTTTTCCTGCTCACTCAATCTACCTACTTGAGCATTAAAGTCACCAGCCACCATTACTACATCGAAGCGCCTAACATTTTGGAGGAGGTCCGAAAGCTTTCAGTAAAACTCATCTTTCACCTCGTCTGAACTGCAGTCAGTGGGAGCGTAGTCAAATACGACGAAGAGGCAACGGCGAGTGTCCCTATCCTTTCGAATCCTTACTGTTCCGTTAAGTCGGACAGCGCACAAACGACTATCTACAGGGATCCAGTGTAGGAGAGATAGTTCTGCCCTAAGACCCAATGCTATACCTACACCAGAGAGAACCCGGGAAGCAGCATCAGAGCTACCGGATACACGAAAAGTAAATCTAGCTGCTTCTTTGTTTTGATAAGTTGAAAGCAAATTAATGATTTTACTAGGATCCTGTATGCGCGTTTCAGAGACGCAGCATACATCGATTGAGCGAGATTCTAATGTATTAGCTAAGGAAGCCTGTTGTCCTAATTGACACAATATCCGTACATTAAATGCTCCAACATGTAGTTTAGAACGGGGTTTCAGAAGACCAGGAATAACTTTTCGTGAACTCGCATCAATTGCATTAGCTGTGCAGCGAGATAAAGGAATGTGAGTAGAGTTAGTCGTGGAGATAAGAGAGGTATTAGGGTGTGTAGGAAGGATTTGATTGTGACCGGTTCGGTATCGTGTGCTGTTACGAGTATGAGGGAGGTTGTCACTTGCCGGCTGCCCACACCATGGAAGGTTGTTTCTTGAGGAACCTGAAAAGGAAAGTAGATTAGTGTTGGTTTTTGAGACCTACGAGCGTGACCGCAGAGCCCAAAGGACAGCTGTTTGAGGCCGGTCACGCACGGCCTTTTCATCAAACGTTTTTGAAGTGTTAGCTCCATTCTTTTTAAAAGCCCCCTACCGTCGGAGATGGAAATCCGTGAGGTAGAGTGAGGTGTGACATTTTTAGGGTCGACCTTTTCTAACCCCTTCCTTCCTTGTGAGAAGGCAGCATCGCTGCTGATGCTAGTTGTCCGAGGCAAACACCTTACTGCTGCCACACCCCTCTGCAGTCAGCGGTACGAATTTACCCTCAAACCTTGCGTAGCTGTTTTGAGTGTCATCGTTCTCCAGTCGACGTGCTTTGGATGGTAGAACCTACAGTAACGTACGTTCGAGCCAACATAGTTCGGTTGGGTAATCACGATAGGTAAGCCGGACCACCACGTCAAGGTAACAGCAACGGTCGGGAGGCGTCAGTGATACTAACCGATCGTTCAAACTAAAGTAGAGCAGAGTTCGAAGCTGAGCTTGAAGTTGAACCGCCTAAGCACTAAGCCACCACCGCCTCGCTATTTTTGATAGCAATCATAAATCATGTATAAATTCTTAAAACAATTGGGGTATATAAGAAATATCATGTAGACAATTACTCTCAAATAATGCGATTCAATAAATACATTTCAGAAAATTATTTAAAACATAACAAGGTAATAATCACAACATTTTTATTGAACCCTTTTCATTGTCGAAAGATAAATATCGGATAGGATAAAATAAAGTAGAACCGTTGAGAATTATATAAAATAATAAAAAAAAGATTCATCTGAAAATACTTTTATTTTAATAAGTCCCAATCACATGTAGTATATGTTATAATAAAAAACAAGGAAATACTCAAGAGAAACAGCGAAAGACAGGTACTGTGTCCATAAACAGGTTGCTGATGTTGTTTTCTTCACAAAAACAAAAAAAGAGCAATACTGAGCATTCGAACCTGAATAATTTGTGATGAAATGTACACAGTGTGAATACACCGTTTTGGTTGAATATTTATTTCCGGAAAAAATGGAGTAAACACATGTGGATTGATAGGAAATTTCATAGTAAATTATTCATCAACTGTCTTCATCCATTTGAGTCTGTTGTAAATAGTAATATTAAGAAGAAAAAGGGTGATATCCCACTACTTTCAACTGTTGGTAAGTATTCATTTTTTTTAAAAAAGCGATGGGAAAAAATATAATAACAAACTGAAAGCTAAAAGACTTGACAAACTTTCACAAAATCTTACTTGTTAGATTTAAAAGACCAGGATCGTTTATTTAGGATACAATCTTAACCTGTAAACAACGAACTAATACAGATAGAGAAGCCTTACAAGAATAGAGATGTCACTTCTCTAAAGTAAGGGTTTGATATTTTCTTATTGTTGATTTGCAGAACTGTATTTGATTGCTGTTTGTGGGAATATGTATACTTTGACCGAATATTTCGACGGATATAAGTTTTAATTTGCTTTTGGAGTGTAGCCAGAAGTGATATCAAAGACACTTGTTTCTTTGGTGTTCATAGCGAAACATATCCACTAGCAATTGCTTTGTATTTAAAAACTGATGTAACCTAATCCTAACTTAGATAGTTAAATGCGAAAACGTGGATCCATTTTCCAGGAGTGGGAAGTGATAGGTTGGACGAACACAAACGTATCACGTGTCTGTGATTACAAGCTTTCTCAAAACCAAGCTTTAGGTGTAAGGTGATAAACAAAGGGAGATATGAGATCTATTGTAACACAAAGATACTAAAATGTGTATTTATAATTAACAATGAGGCCTTCTCTCAGGTTGCATACATTTCAACAGAAACAGATTAAAAGGGATTCGAGAAGATATGATCTAACGAACGAACGTAATGCACGTTGAACAAACTGATCGCTACTTGGACTCAGTTGCTTCGTGGGCATATCGTTAGCGTTTGGAGTGGTAAGTAGTGGGTTCGCGTCTTAATGTTAACACATCAACACCAGAATCTATGTACACTCAGTCGACTAGTTTTAAATGGGACGGAACGTGTGTTTTGGATTCCAGTGCTAGTTGCAATCTCAAAATATAGTTTAACTGACTGTAATGTAATGAGGGAAATACTCATGTACCATAATGAAAATAAATGAATCCTGTAAATAAACGGATCGATTCTAGTTACAATGACCATAAGGTTGTGTTAATCAGACCAATATGGACGGTAATATGAACCCACTAATCAATGGAAATAGTGAAAAATGTTTTACAGCAATAGTGGATTATCGCCGTAACTTACCAGTTAACGGTAGAGTTTGTTCATCATATTAGAATTGCAGAGAGAATTTAAAATGTTGCAAATGACATACTCCTTAGATTGAATTAATATGCACTTGGAAATGTCAAGTTAAAATAGGTATTGGAGTGCAACATTGATCTTATCTTGAATGAGTATCAGTTGTTACGTATTACTCTAGTTCAACAAAAGATCAGAATGATGAAAGAAAGTGGAGATCTATACGAGCATTCGTCTCACTCTTTTAGCGTTACAGTTTTATGGTAATGATTGATTCAATTACTGAACAGATAAGCATGTATCGCGTTCAGATCTCAGACACTGTACAATATAACACTTTTAATCTCTGTACAGCTCTTAGAACTTGTTAGTAAATCACAGAAATCCCTCCTGTTTGTATACCAAGTTTAGTCTTGTTGAATATTGTAGTAACACTGCCTGCGACTACATAGAGCATGAGATTTGGTAACAAGTAACCTTTCAAGATAAACAGAAAGTAAATTAATGGACGTTGAACACTTTTCTTTGATCCTTATATTTTTATTATACTAAGCTAAGTAAAAACAAACAGTTCAAAACACTCTGTTTAGTGCTGAAAAGTGACACTATAATATTCTTGTTACACTTGATTTTTACTCATTAAGATTTTCATATTTTTAATGTTTCTTACAAGTGCCTAAATATAATTTTTCATCCAAATAATGGACTATGTTTGTGTTTGAGTTTGCTAGGTGACTGCACCCTATATTAAAACCACTCTAAAATCCCTTGGCACGGCGGTGGATACCAAGGCCACCTTCCATTTGCTGGTGATTGTACTTTAAGTGTATGTTGAAAAAAAGTGTGCCTCAGAGACTAATTAACATTTTGATTGCTCTATATAATAATATATTGGACAGAGTGAGAGTATACAACCATACTTTCAATACTTAGCTTCTTGTTGTCATTGCCACTAAATTATTTAGATCTTTCGCTACTTTTCTTGATTGTTTCATCTCAAAGTGGTAATATAGTGTGATAATTTGGATGAATGCACATCTGCACCCGATTTTACGTTTATGATGACTAAATATCTGTGCTTGAGTGATTTGAGCCTTTTCAGGTGAGGATTTTTGGTAACTCTGGGTTCGATCAAGATTGTTTTCAAAAAATTGCTTAAAGCCGGTGGCAGTAATGTTTAAATATTCCCAGGTGTGGCAATGTTTACCAGAACGTATTAATGATCACTTAATTGCTGTTATTATCTAGTAACATGAGCTTTAGTAGCTTGAACGAATGTTGCCTCAATGGTCCCCACGTTGTACTGTATTGGGAGTGGACAATAAATGTATAGGGATTCATGACAATGACAATTGACAGATGTATGGCGGTACGAAAAAGTGGCATCTGTTGATTTATCAATACTCTAGCAAACTAACGATGACGCAACTCAACAGTATGAGACGTCACTAAGCGCAGCTTAGAACAAACGTCAGTGGCAATTATGAAGTCTCATCACATTTTTCATCTGAACAAGAAGGACCTTATACCGGAAAATTAGTCATAGTTTTAACTGAAGAGTATATTTTATTGACACCGCCTGGAGTGCCTGTGTAGCTAGTGCCGGTCCGAAGCCTGGATAAAGTAGGAGAGTTGGGCATAGGGTTAGTGAACGCATCCAGTAAAAAACTTACTCGATAAAAAACGCTAAAAAAGAAAAAATATTACAAACCATTTAAACTCTGCCCTGAGTTGGAAAGTCTTCATTTAGAATAGTTATGACGTCTCATCGTAAAAGCTCAGTTTCTTTAAAAGTCACGAGGACGGTGCCCCTTTAGATAACAACAACAACTAATATAGGCACATGGAATGTTCGCACAATGTAAGAGACCGGAAGAATCATTCAATCTACCAAAGGAATGAAAAGATACAACTTGGTTGCGCTTGGAATCAATGAAACACGTTGGACGCAAGATGGACAACTTAAGCTAGCTTCAGGAGAGCTGTTGTTATACTCCGGTCATGAAGAAAATGCCTCACACTTATAAGGAGTTGCACTTATGCTATCCAAACAAACAAAAGTAGCACTGATAGGACGGGAATCTCATGGATCCAGGACCATCAAAGCATCCTTCAAAACAAAGGAAGAGAGCATTACAATGAACGTCAACCAGTGCTACGCGCCTACGAACGATAACAATGAAGACATTAAAGATCAATTCCACGAGAGGCTGCAGTCAATCTTAGAAAGAAACCCGACAAAGGACAACTGGGTGAACAACATCACAAACGTTTAGTACGGCCTTTAATTAGGATACTGGCAAACACACCGAATTCAAGATAACTCTCAGCAACAAGTTACAGGCATTTCAATAAAGACGGAACAACCATAGAAAACAACTGGAAAGGGATCAAGGAAGCAATAACCTAAACATGTTATCAGGTTCTATGCCACAAGAGGTACCATCCCCAAGAATCGATCTCAGTGGATACACTTAGGATTTGAAGAAAGAACGAGAAGGCAGCAAACAATAACAGCCGAAAAACACCGAAATACTACCTACGGACCATTTAATTATTGTTGACCCACCAACAATTTAAGAAATCAGCATGGCCAGCAGACAAATGACGAGTGGTGAAGAAGCAGGACCAGACAACATTCCAGCGGAGGCACTTAAAGTAGATATAAAAGTAACTGCAAAGAGGCTCCAAACTCTATTCAGCAATATTTGGAAGAAAGAACAAGTACCGACAGACTGGGACCAAGGATATTTCACTAAGATACCAGCTTAAGGAGACCTTAACAAGTAGAACTACGGAGTAATCAAATTAATATCAGTACCTCGAAGATTCTTCGATAGAGCGTCGTTGAACCGAATGAAAGATTCCGTAGACTCCCAACTTCGAGTTCAACAGGCTGCATTTCGTAAGGATCCATCGTGTACCGACCAAATCGCAACACTACGGATCATTGTGGAACAATCAATTGAATGGAACTCACCATTCTACGTCAACTTCATTGAAAACGAGAAAGCATTCGATAGCGTGGACAGGACAACACCGTGAAGACTTCCTCGACACTAAGGAGTGCCTGAGAAGATAGTCAACATCAAACGGGACTCATATGATGGATTAGACTGCAAAATCGTGCACCGAGGACAGCTGACTGACTCGTTCGAAGTAAAGACTGGTGTCAGACAAGGCTGCTTGCTCTCAACCTTCCTCTTTCTCCAGGCGGTTGACTGGATTACGAAAACCTCAACATCTCAGGGGAAGCAAGAGATACAATGGACAGCTTGGAGGAAGCTAGACGACTTGGACTTCGCAGGTGATCCGGCTATTCTATCCCGCACAGAGCAACAAATGCAGTTAGAGACGGCCGGTGTAGCGGCAGCTTCTGCAGCAGTAGGTTTCAACATACAACGGGGAAAAATCAAGATCCTCCAATACAACACAACATGCATCGAACGAATCACACTTGATGGAGAAGCAAGCTTTGGAAGATGTTAAAACCTTTACATATCTGGGCTGCATCGTTGATCATCATGTTGGATCTGATGCAGATGGGATGGCGCGGATCGGTAAAGCCAGGGTAGCATTTCTACGATTGAAGAACATCTGGAACTCGAAACAGCCATCAACCAACACCAAAGTCAGAATTTTCAATACAAATGTCAAGACAGTTCTGCTCTATGGAGAGGGAACTTGGAGGACTGCGAAGGCCATCATCAAGGAAGATACAAGTATTTATTAACAGTTGTTTACGCAATATACTTCTGATCCGTTGGCCAGGCGCCATCAGCAACAACCCATTGCGGAAGAAAACAAACCAGATTACAGTGGAGGAAAAAATCACGAAGAAGAGCTAGAAGTGGATAAGACATACACAGCTGGAAGCACCTAATTGTGTCCCAAGACAAGTCCTTTCTTGGAACCCTCCAAGTAAAAGGACAGGAAGAAGGCGAAGGAACATATTACACCGAAAAACGGAGAGGGACGTTAGAAGAATGAATAACAAATGGATAGAACTAGAAAGAAAGGCCCAGGACAGGTTAGGTTGGAGAATGCTGGTCGGTGGCTTATGCTCCACTGGGGAGTAACAGGAGTTAGTATTATTTATTGTGCTTATTAATTTACTGATGATACGATCTTTTCCTCTTCCATCTTTTCGTAACATAAGTAGGACTCTCTGAACCTTAAGTAGAAAAAGATGCTAAGTAGTTATAACTTGACAATCATGTATGATGATGCATTTAAGAAGTGTTAGATTTGAAGTAACACGATATTTAACCTCAGTTGCCACACTCCATAGAGTATAGAAATGAACAAGAATATGCAAAATACTAAAATTAGCTAGAAAAGTATTTAATATCTAAGAAATAATTGTCAGATAAATATAATTACCTGAGTATAATGGCGATAAGTAGGATGGAAATTGTGAACTGCATCAACAAGTATATCCGTAGGATCAATAGTTGCTTTGATACTTGCAGATATACTTGGGATCACACTCGAATTTTTAACGTCCCACGCTTTTCCAAATACACCATTGTTCAATTGTGGATCAACAATATCCCATGGTAATGGTTCAGCATATGTTGCTGATGGTGCGTAACTAACAAATGTTGCCGGTGTAAACTGTGATGAATTTTCTTTGATAGAATTAACTGCCAGTGAGTCTCTTGATGGTTTAAAACCCACAGACGGTTTTGTAGTAAACAAAAATTCATCGTTAGCCCAATAAGAGTCGTTTGGAGGTAAGTCAAAAACAAGGCGTGGTGGATGACTATATTAAAAAAAGGATACATACAGAAATTGTCAACTTTCATAGTAATTAAAAGATTCAAGTTGATCCAATCTAATCTGTGGGCTCATTCTGTCGCAACAAGAAGCGAAGTAATATTTTGATGTGTAAATGGATTCTTTGGATGAATGCTTATTGTTTAAGCTAAATAATCACACAGGTTCGCTAGTTATTAGGAATAACGCAAACGTTTTTTACGAGTGTTTTGGTAAATAAATGACTGGAAAAAAGCTGTTGTTTGCATTGTGCATTAAGAGGATATTTAGTTTGACCACATGTTAAATTTAAATCTAAAAACAATTTATCTTCTAAGACGATTCAAAAAGCTAACATTTTTAATTTTATTTATATTGATGTAAACTAGTTAACACACGAAAAATATGTGCATTGTAGGTACTGTACAGTACATAATGAGTTTTGCAAAATAAAATATTACAAATACAATTTTCTTCACCTCGCCAGCTAGTGATGCTTAAATAAAGGGAGGTAATGTGAAATATTCACACTTCAGGGTTTCTCAAAAATTCGAAATTCGTTGTTGTAAGAATGAGCATAAAACACTACAGATGAGTGATTGGTCAGTTTTATCTTTGGACAAATATTTTTATCAGGTCCAGCGAACTTAGTTTTGGTCACTAATTCCACCGAGAAACATAGCCTAATTAAACATATAAGTACTACTCATTATGAGTGCGAAAAATAGCATTGGTCTAGGAAAACTAAAATCGAAGAACATAAGAGCCAAGGAAAGCTGACTGAAAATATGATGAAATAATTTTCTACAAGCAGTACATAAAACGATATCGATATCATTAATCAGCACAGTACAAAAGTTGCATTTCAAATAGTATATTCCGTTTTATCGATAAACGTCAAACACCGTAGATAATGATTCAAGTGAAAGTTAGAATATCCGAAAACAAAAAAAATACAGAGACAAACATTCGGAAGCTTAGTACTCAAGTTCATAATAATTCGTACGTAAAAAAAAAGAACGTCAGTCAGTCAGCTAGAAAGTAGAATTTCATACGTGCGTACATCAGTTTAGGTTGCCATACCACATCAGCACAAAGATCAAATTATCAATTCAAATTCCATAGTAGGAGAGATAGTACAAGAACTAGCGGTAACCAGAACATTACGGTTCGAAGAAATTATTCAAGTTTAATTCAGTCAAATTAATTCAAAAAGAGACGAGTAAAGGTCTTGGGCTCATGAGGTGATGAAAGAAGACAAAGAAAGACTCAAAGAGTATAATCCAGTGAAATTCATGTGACAAGAGAAATATACAGGTGATGAGGAATTCAGACGATTATCACTCGGTAAAACACAAAGAGTAAATGCACCTTCTCCATTGCACACGATTTTGAGCCATGTCATTCAAATTCTCTAATCATCGGTTAGTATCACCTCACGAACCCCAACCAGCTATTCTACATCTACCGACATGACTCAGTTCATTTGCCAGTGACCTCAAGGATTTGTGCCATATTGTGGTCTGACCACCCCTAGCTTTCTTACAGCCTAACCCCACACCACAAAACATTGCTACCAATACCATCCATCCTAACTGGCCATGTTTCACAACCAGAGTAGAGTGGAGCGAAATGATGTTCAGTATACGCATACTTTGGTCAGAATACGGACTTTTGTCCTTTTTTTAAAGTCTGGGGACAATCGATGATTGAGACCAGTCAGATGGGATTACGTCCAGTTCCCAGATTCTAAACAAGATCTCAGTTAGTCTGACTGACCACCATCATTAAAAATCTATTGTTTGAATCTATCAGAACATGCGGCTCTACTTCGTTTTAGATTTCCCATAGCCTTTTCAACTTCGTAAAGACTTGGATAAGTTATATCGACTGGCCATTCAGGTTGACTGGAGATCGTGGGCAACCGGCAACTGGCTTTCAGCCAGTTGAACTGATTCGCAGAGTTCTGCCCATTGAACCAATCATCTGGATTGAGAATGAATAATGAACCCATCTTTTTACGAGAGTCCCATTGACAGTCGGATTCCTCTTTTCCATGTCTCTTCTTTTCGCTACTCACTATTTCGCAGTTATTGCGTCAGGTATTGTATTTAAGGTACCTTTACTGCTTATTGCCCCGACCATTGCTGCTACATTGTCGTAGTGGTCGGGCATGCCTATGGCGATTACCCAACCGAGCTATGTTGGCTCGAACATACGTTGTAGTACCGCCAACATATATTCGAGTTCCCTTACATTTAATTTGGTTAAGCCCTTTTGATTAATTTATTTAACCAAGCCATTTGTATTGCAACAATTTATATGTACCATTCGTTCTTATTATTGTCTGGTTTGTATGAGCTCACATGACGTGTCCCACTTGTCATTTAACCTTGTTAACTATTCGTCGCTTTTATTCATGTGTGCCTATTTCGCTTGTCTCATGTCTGCCAAATATTTGTCTCACTATATATTCTTAGTCACGCTCTATTTCTTTGAGTTGGCTCATTAACCTTCTACAACATGCTTTGCCTGTTCATTCGCTTCCATCGCCCATTTGTTCGCATTGTAATCCTGGAAGTTGGCTCAGAGCCTTCTCCAATTCACGTCGCTTCATCCCTTTTATTCACTGCTTCTCCACTTCGCTTTGTGGTGTGTCCCCGATAAACGTATTCAACACTACAAATCCACCTTCTGATTAATAATCGTCAGACACCATTTAGAAACGATTGTCTAGACGAGCTAAGCTCGGTTGGGTCATCACGATAAGCAAGCCCGATCACCACGTCAAAGTAGCAGCTTCGGTCGGGTTTCTAACCAAAGGATGAGTATACTGCACATCAGTTCGCTCCACTCTACTCAATGGTTGTGAAACATGGCCACTTAGGATGGATGGTATTTGTAGGTTACTGATATTCGATCATCGATGTCTTTGAAGCATGCACGTTTATGCTGGGACAATCGAGAAAGCAATGCTGTTGTTAGAAAACCGGCACTAGGCAAGGATGGCAAATCAATAGGTTAAGCTTGATTGGTTGACGAGGTTGAGACATATGTTACGTATGCCCAACCAGCGACTGCCTCGACGAGCAATGTTTTGTGGTGTGGGGTTAGGCTGTAAGAAAGCTAGGGGTGGTCAGACCACAATATGGCACAAATCCTTGAGGTCACTGGCAAATGAACTGAGTCATGTCGGTAGATGTAGAATAGCTGGTTGGGGTTCGTGAGGTGATACTAACCGATGATTAGAGAATTTGAATGACATGGCTCAAAATCGTGTGCAATGGAGTAGGTGCATCCATTCGTTGTGTTCTATGAAATCCCAATCTTTCGAATTCGTCAACACCTCTACTTTCTTTTTTCTAAATTTATCTCACTGAGTTGGACTTCTTTAGTAATATCTTGTGACCCTAATCTTCTCCATTACCAATAATACTTCAACTATGTCTAATACTATGGGATTCGAACTGACAATCACGTCTCTTTGCTAATGTGGTTTGGCTACCTGATATGATGTACTCACATACGAAGTTCCACATTGTAACTAACTGACTGACTGCTGCTTCTCGTGTTCGGCGTGAGTTACCGATCATTTCAATAGATGCGAACGAAATCCACTTCTTCTCCCCAAGCTTACATTTTACCTTACTAGCAGATATCACTGCTGTTTTCACAGCTTTTTGGATCTTATTCCAAGTTCATTCCGGGTGAGCATCACTTACATGACTGCCTAACTGCATCTATAGTTCCCTCGGAAATATACTCTTGGCTTTTTTTTATCGCAATGTAGAACTCTAAGGGATTTCGTTTCTCTTTCTTTCTTACATCCAGAAAGATGCACATGAATACGAATCCGTACTAGAGCATGATCTGGATCTAAACATGTGCTCGAGAATGAGCGGTAATCGTCTGTCGAGCCTCTCCGCCGGTGGCTGATAGCGATGTGGTCTAATTGAGTCTAAAGAAATGAAGGAACTGTTGACCAGTATAACCTACCGTTTGATATACAAACAGATGTCTCACTTGTGCCAAACTGTTGCGCAAAGCGAATTCCTATATAGACATAAATAAGTGAACACTGAAAGCCACTTACAAATACTTACAAGATTATACACATGTATGGGGTTAATATTCAGTATATATGAATTACAAACTTACTGCAATACATAAATACTATAGGGAAATGCATAACGCAGTGCAATCGCAACAACAACCAATTCAATGCATATTAATAAATTTTTGTAAATACCAGCAATCAGTGTAGCTGAATATCCACTTGTCATGTTTATAACGTGACTCCATTCCAGAATACTGAATAGTACATCTGTTCAGTAGAAAAAATTACCAAAAATTAACATAATCTTAATGATTTAACTGTTCGTTTATGCAGTAAAATAATGTGTAAGTATAATTTAAATTAAATTGAAAACGTGAGTTTGCAATAAAACCTTATAGTTAAATTCTAAACCTCATTCTGTTTTTCGTTAAAAATCAGAACAATTAAATAATATTCAGTAGTCGGGGATGTATATCATCATTTGAGTCATTTGACTTTTAAGAATCAGATCACAGATATACTTCCATTTGACTTACTTCAGCCAGTGCAATCATGTACTGCTTCTAACACTTATAGAAAAGTGCGATTTAAACCCTAGTATACAGGAAAGCGTTAACATACTGAGCTATATAAATTAAACTAGTGACAACAGTGACAATTTAATACAAACGGAAAGGAAAAAGGAAAACAAAGAAATTATCACAAGATATTTGCGATTTACACCAGAACACAGGTTTACGAAATACGTATACGTGGCATCATCTGTTGAATAGCTGAATTACAGTTGCAGCTGTCTCATATACCTACTTATTTCTTTACGTATTACAATGAGAAATTAATGATTTTTCATAAGACATAAATTGAGATTATTTCGCAATTCACAATACTATTAGAATATTATTAGAACAACTTTACATACCTTGCCAAAAGCTAAAAAAGATGATCGATTTAATTGTAGCGAATTTGAGTAACGGTGAGAATGGTTTCAATTGCTCCCGAGTTGCGAAATAAAACAACAACAAACCATAAATGGCAAGAGTTACAGTAGCGTTATTGATCAGGAATAAATACAGATAGCCTGACGTAGGACTAAAAGTAGTAAGGTAGTAATAAGTATATATAGATCATAAAAAATGTGTTTTCGCACTAATTATTTAAAAGAATACGAAGTTTATGAAAGAAAATGACGCTGCCAACCTTTAGTACTTAGTGAGTAACTAAATAATTGCTGAGATTTATTGAGCATAAAAGGCTATTTAAATTACTTGAGAGCTGAAACAACTTTAGAGGGAGAATTATGGGGACTAGATTTGAACCTACAAATCGTATTGAAATAGAAGACGTGTCTACAAATAATGGATTTTCAATTGCAGAATCCATAAAATAACTTCGCAAAAGAAATTTTTGCGATGTAATCTGATAGAATATGGATGAGTGAAGAAATAGTACTACTCCAAAATATTCTGTTTGTAACAGAAAGAATAAAATGAGGTGTTCTTTTGGGAGAAGCATAATCAACTGTCAGAAAACTGGCCATACCACAACAGTACCTGTAATACACGAAAATTTCACACGCATAAAATCCTGCAATTATCATGATGAAATAATCACAATGTACTGTGCACTATTAGGTTTTTATAACTACAATTACTCGAAACTTATAACCCCAAAAATTCGATAAATATAGCGATTAGGCTGTTTCTATTTATGTCTACGGAAATGAGTAGTAGCGAGGCTCATATATCAAAAAGAAGATAACGGAAGTGCGATCCACCGTGAAGTGAACCTGTATTCAACAAACCAAACTGCCGTATTCACTAGCTTTAGAAAGCGCATACTTGATCAGAGAATAGGACGACCTTACTAAACACTAACAAATAGGCGTTGCTAGTGCTTAATGCCACGAAATTACATCAGCTACCATTCGGAAAAGAGTATTGAGCTGAGGTTCTTTGCTTACCCAAAATCACCAATAGTATACTTCTTTGAAGCCGTTAGTACCATCGACAGGACGGATGTAATTGGTTTGATCAGTGTATACTGAAGAGTAGCCTTGCAATATAAATTTCGGAATAAAAACAAGTAACAATTAAATACAAGTATGCATTTGAAAAAATGACATAGTTATAAGCAAAAGTGAGGATTTGAAAATAAAACCCAGTGAATGGAACATTTGGATTGTTCATATTCACTTCATAATAAACTTAAACAACATCGTAATTTAAATCCACAGGACAATAATTTTACATGTAATTGCACTACCAAGGTGTGACATGAAGTTCTTCTAGCTTAAATTACATTGGGACAGTGTTTCAAAATAAAATCAGAAAATAGTTATCAAATCACAAGTAGTTGATATACTAATTATCGACGTCTATAATCTAACTGAAGCAACTAATCTCAAATAACAACAATAATCCTATCAACATGGTAAAAATAACATTCTAAACAGTAATATCAAAAAGTAGAAGAAACTGTCAATAGATTAGGCGCATGAGTAAGTCAGCTAGAAAGTAGAATTTCATACGTGCGTACATCAGTTTAGGTTGCCATACCACATTAGCACGAAGATCGAATTATCAATTCAAATTCCATAGTAGGAGAGATAGTACAAGAATTAGCGGTAACCAGAACATTACGGTTCGAAGAAATTATTCAAGTTTAATTCAGTCAAATTAATTCAAAAAGAGACGAGTAAAGGTCTTGGGCTCATGAGGTGATGAAAGAAGACAAAGAAAGACTCAAAGAGTATAATCCAGTGAAATTCATGTGACAAGAGAAATATACAGGTGATGAGGAATTCAGATTATCACTCGGTAAAACACAAAGAGTAGATGCACCTACTCCATTGCACACGATTTTGAGCCATGTCATTCAAATTCTCTAATCATCGGTTAGCATCACCTCACGAACCCCAACCAGCTATTCTACATCTACCGACATGACTCAGTTCATTTGCCAGTGACCTCAAGGATTTGTGCCATATTGTGGTCTGACCACCCCTAGCTTTCTTACAGCCTAACCCCACACCACAAAACATTGCTCGTCGAGGCAGTCGCTGGTTGGGCATACGTAACATATGTCTCAACCTCGTCAACCAATCAAGCTTAACCTATTGATTTGCGATCCTTGCCTAGTGCCGGTTTTCTAACAACAGCATTGCTTTCTCGATTGTCCCAGCATAAACGTGCACGCTTCAAAGACATCGATGATCGAATATCAGTAACCTACAAATACCATCCATCCTAAGTGGCCATGTTTCACAACCATTGAGTAGAGTGGAGCGAACTGATGTGCAGTATACTCATCCTTTGGTTAGAAACCCGACCGAAGCTGCTACTTTGACGTGGTGGTCCGGCTTACCTATCGTGATTACCCAACCGAACTATGTTGGCTCGAACGTACGTTACTGTAGGTTCTACCATCCAAAGCACGTCGACTGGAGAACGATGACACTCAAAACAGCTACGCAAGGTTTGAGGGTAAATTCGTACCGCTGACTGCAGAGGGGTGTGGCAGCAGTAAGGTGTTTGCCTCGGACAACTAGCATCAGCAGCGATGCTGCCTTCTCACAAGGAAGGAAGGGGTTAGAAAAGGTCGACCCTAAAAATGTCACACCTCACTCTACCTCACGGATTTCCATCTCCGACGGTAGGGGGCTTTTAAAAAGAATGGAGCTAACACTTCAAAAACGTTTGATGAAAAGGCCGTGCGTGACCGGCCTCAAACAGTTGTCCTTTGGGCTCTGCGGTCACGCTCCTAGGTCTCAAAGACCAACACTAATCTACTTTCCTTTTCAGGTTCCTCAAGAAACAACCTTCCATGGTGTGGGCAGCCGGCAAGTGACAACCTCCCTCATACTCGTAACAGCACACGATACCGAACCGGTCACAATCAAATCCTTCCTACACACCCTAATACCTCTCTTATCTCCACGACTAACTCTACTCACATTCCTTTATCTCGCTGCACAGCTAATGCAATTGATGCGAGTTCACGAAAAGTTATTCCTGGTCTTCTGAAACCCCGTTCTAAACTACATGTTGGAGCATTTAATGTACGGACATTGTGTCAATTAGGACAACAGGCTTCCTTAGCTAATACATTAGAATCTCGCTCAATCGATGTATGCTGCGTCTCTGAAACGCGCATACAGGATCCTAGTAAAATCATTAATTCGCTTTCAACTTATCAAAACAAAGAAGCAGCTAGATTTACTTTTCGTGTATCCGGTAGCTCTGATGCTGCTTCCCGGGTTCTCTCTGGTGTAGGTATAGCATTGGGTCTTAGGGCAGAACTATCTCTCCTACACTGGATCCCTGTAGATAGTCGTTTGTGCGCTGTCCGACCAAACGGGACAGTAAGGATTCGAAAGGATAGGGACATTCGCCGTTGCCTCTTCGTCGTATTTGACTACGCTCCCACTGACTGCAGTTCAGACGAGGTGAAAGATGCGTTTTACTGAAAGCTTTCGGACCTCCTCCAAAATGTTAGGCACTTTGATGTAGTAATGGTGGCTGGTGACTTTAATGCTCAAGTAGGTAGATTGAGTGAGCAGGAAAAACACGTGGGTGGATGTTATGTTGTCGCGTGTCAGAGAACAGACAATGATGACCGTCTGTTGCAACTGTGCTCAGATAACCGCATATTCTTAGCAAACACTAACTTTAAGGCATAAGGAAAAGCACCTTTTACCTGGCGACCCCCAAAGTCGTCTCAACGTTGGACGCAACTAGATGATATCGCCATCAGCCAACGATGGAGGGGTTCGATGGAGGACTGTCCCTGTTTCTGATGCACATGCTTAAATTTAGATCATGTCCTAGTGCGAGCACGTATTTGTTCGCGACTAAACGGATGTAGGAAAAACACAGCAAAATAAACCTTTTAGGGTTCACCTAATGATAATAAAGCTAGGAATATATTTCAGGAGCAACTAGAAAGAGGGTTATGCAACTATGTAGGCGATCCCCATCGGGAAGCAGGTTGGTATGATATCAAAAAGGCTGTGGAAACAGCTGTGATATCTGATAGTAAGGTAAACCATAAGGCTAGAGTGAAGCCGTGGATCTCAGTAGCATCCACCGAACTGATGGATGCTCGAAAATTTATCCCACCTAGCTCTGAACATGATGAAGAACAAAGTCAGCTCAGGCGCAGGTTGATAAAAAGCCTACGCAACGGCTGTGAACAGTGGTGGGTGGCGAAAGCAAAAGCGATGGAAAAGGCAGCCGCGATAGACAGATAGATGCAACACAGAACTTCGTACATAAGTACATCAGTTCAGGTTGCCATACCACGTCAGCACAGAGACGTAACTTTCAGTTCAAATCCAAGAGTAATAGTGATAGTAGAATTATTAGCAGCAATGGAGAAGATTAGGGTGCAAAGATATGATTCGAAAAGTATAATTCAGTGAGATAAATTTAGAAGGAGAAAGATAGAGATTATGAGGAATTCAGGAGGTTAGAATTAAAAAGCAAACAAAGAGTGGATTCACCTGCACCATTGCAAACGGTTCTGAGCCATGTCGTTCAAGGACTTTAATCATTGGTGACTTTCCTCTCGCGGGCCTCAACCAGATAGCCTACATCTACCAACATGACTCAGTCCACTTGTCAGTGCCTTCATGGATTTCTGCCATGTTTTGGTTTGACCGCCCCTAACTTTCTTCCAACCTACCCCTACGCCACAAAACATAACTCGTCACGACGGTCGGTGGCTAGGCATATCTAACACATGTCTCAACCACCTCAACTGATAGGCGATAGGCAACAGTAGACAACTTTTCCAACTTATCAAGGAAACTGGTATTAGGAACCTTAGTGTGAGACTATCTCGGGAAAGGATGGGACTAATATTCATTCTCAATCCAGGAGATCGGATCGACGGGAAAAACACTTTAGGGATCAGTTCAACTGGCCTTCAGACAAACTTCGGTTACCTACGGTCTCCAGTCATCCTGAATGGAAAATGGACATAAGTCCTCCGACTCTTTATGAGGTTGAGAAAGCGATAGGAAATCTGAAGCGAGGGAGGGCAGCAGGACCCGATAGCTTGACTCCTGAGATTTTTAAGGATGGTGGTCCAGTTTTAGTAGCTAGATTGACTGAGATCTTAGGTAGAATCTGGGAATAGGACGTAATCCCATCTGACTGGACTCAATCCCTGATTGTCGCGCATCAAGATACCAAATAAAGGAGATTTCGGCAAGTGTGAGAACCACAGACGAATCACTGTTCTCTCAATACCAGGAGAAGTCTCCAACCAAGTTTTGTTAAACAGAATGAAAGATTCCGTAGACTCCCAACTTCGAGTTCAACAGGCTGCATTTCGTAAGGATCCATCGTGTACCGACCAAATCGCAACACTACGGATCATTGTGGAACAATCAATTGAATGGAACTCACCACTCTACGTCAACTTCATTGAAAACGAGAAAGCATTCGATAGCGTGGACAGGACAACACCGTGAAGACTTCCTCGACACTAAGGAGTGCCTGAGAAGATAGTCAACATCAAACGGGACTCATATGATGGATTAGACTGCAAAATCGTGCACCAAGGACAGCTGACTGACTCGTTCGAAGTAAAGACTGGTGTCAGACAAGGCTGCTTGCTCTCAACCTTCCTCTTTCTCCAGGCGGTTGACTGGATTACGAAAACCTCAACATCTCAGGGGAAGCAAGAGATACAATGGACAGCTTGGAGGAAGCTAGACGACTTGGACTTCGCAGGTGATCCGGCTATTCTATCCCGCACAGAGCAACAAATGCAGTTAGAGACGGCCGGTGTAGCGGCACCTTCTGCAGCAGTAGGTTTCAACATACAACGGGGAAAAATCAAGATCCTCCAATACAACACAACATGCATCGAACGAATCACACTTGATGGAGAAGCAAGCTTTGGAAGATGTTAAAACCTTTATATATCTGGGCAGCATCGTTGATCATCATGTTGGATCTGATGCAGATGGGATGGCGCAGATCGGTAAAGCCAGGGTAGCATTTCTACAAGTGAAGAACATCTGGAACTCAAAACAGCCATCAACCAACACCAAAGTCAGAATTTTCAATACAAATATCAAGACAGTTCTGCTCTATGGAGAGGGAACTTGGAGGACTGCGAAGGCCATCATCAAGGAAGATACAAGTATTTATTAACAGTTGTTTACGCAATATACTTCTGATCCGTTGGCCAGGCGCCATCAGCAACAACCCACTGCAGGGGAAAACAAACCAGATTCCAGTGGAGGAAAAAATCACGAAGAGCTGGAAGTGGATTAGACATACACTGTTGAAAGCACCCATTTTTTCACAAGTCTACACTTTGAACCCTCAAGGTCAAGGCAAATCAGGAAGGCCAAGGAACATATCACGCCGAAAAACGGAGACGGATATGAGGAGAATGAATAACAAATGAATAGAACTATAAAAAAATGCCAATGACAGATTAGGTTGGAGAATGCTGGTCGGTGGCTTGTGCTCCACTTTGATGAGGGGGTAAAAGAACTAAGTAAATAAGTAATTTAGAATGGTTAGCCGAGGATATCATCTGTCGGAGACGAACTAATTCCGCCTAGGCTAAACTAAAATCTTAGATTGTGGGATGCAAGACGAACGAGACAGAAACGGAATTGACTGCTGGGTTTTTAAAGTACTCGAGATCAAAAATTTTGAAGTGCCAATGCCAAACCTATAGAAAAGTTTTGGTATTGTGTACGTAGCATGAAACCAGTTACATAATGAAAGAACAAGCATATTTAGCCCTTCTCCATCTACATAACAAGTATACTTCTCGAATTATATCTTCGAACCCTAATCTTCTCCATTACCACTAATACTTCTACTATCGCTACCACTATGGGATTTGAACTGACAGTTGCGTTTCTGTGTTTATGCGGTACGGCTACCTGAAATGATGTGCGTATGTACGAAGTTCTACGTTGTAACTGACCGACTGACTGAAATATGCGAAGGCTATATTGCATGAGGATACACTGAGTTTCAGACAAGAACATAGTATATACGCAATAAATTACCCCATAATTACAAGTATTCCCAATAAGTGACAGCTTGATTAACAAGATGTTGGAAAAGCCGCTATGACTATGTGATATGATGACCCTAATTATTTTGAATTTATTTGAGCACTAGTAAATAATACTTACGATTTTACAAAACCGTAGAAATAATATGGTATACGGCTTCCCTGCGAAGCAACAGGTACTATAAAGTATACTGAAACTAAATTGCTTATATTAGAGACATAGGGAATTACTTAATTGTTTTTCCAGTAAGCTCCAACATTATATTACCTTCTCCTCCAAGATACTGATAGCACAAAGCTAAAAAACTGTAGATTGCAAACGCTGGAACGTTAGTAAACAATCGTATTGACTACCTTCTGCAACGTCGTGTATAAAGTCGATGTATATACTATCCACCATTGCATGTACTGCAAGCAGAACGCTCAGAAAAGAGTAAATGGCATAAGCCGGCACCAAAACCAACACCCGTATAATATATCGTTGTTCAGAAACACATGTATAATTTTTGAGGTGAAAATACATCTAAAGTAATGAAAAAAGGAACTAGATAGATTACTTGATGAAATGTAATCATGCATGATAACAGTGCACACAAACTAGCGATTATTTGGGTATACGCAGAGGTAGCAAACAGATACTTCTCATTTATAGTTAGGTTCCGCAAGATATCTGTTGAATTCAGCACTAAAGAGCTGTTATTCATGTTCCCCCATATGGTCACTAAGATCGTCAAGGTTGATCGGTATCTGGGACAAGGTCACTCCGTCCAACCTAACACATTTATGTCTAGTTGTTTGAACAAGGCTAGTTCTTTTCGATTTCACGAACACCATCAGAGATACCTGTACCATGGTTTTATTAAACCCTCTTCATCAGCGAACCTTATGTGATTTGTGGACGACTTCATTTGCCACGTGGTTTGAAAACTCGAAGCTCATTTTTCTACGTGTTAAACTACTCCATTTTTATTGTGTTATCGTGCTATAAGTTGGATTCGAAATCATATTTAACACTTTTAGAGCTATTTTCACCTGCGAAGTACCTTTTTAACACGTGCTTTATTTCATTTTTAAACGAGGTATTTTATTGGTGCTTAATCCTTATTTTTGTATGCACTGTCTTACACTTACCTTTTTCCTAAGTAAGGTTTGCTAACCTTTTGACGTTTTTTCACTTTAGCTGTCACTGGTCAAAGTCACGGCTTTGGTATATTTTGATAGCTACTGTAGGAACGTAATAACTTTGATGTTTTGTGATAAAGTACTCAAAATTTTCCCGTCTTTTCCACATCATTCCGGTTAGAGTGGTCATCCAAGGTCATTATGTTATCCCTCATTCCCGTTGAAGATGGTAATCAATGTAAGTGTGAAAGAGATGGCTTGACAAAATGTTTATTAATTAGTCGCTGGCCGCGTAGAAACGTTGTTATAAACCGGACTCCCCGGTATTATGTGGAGAATGTTGCTTCGCCAGAGTGATTCTCCTAGTTTGGGCCTTGGAGCTTCTCACCTGGCTGAGGGATTTGCTAACTGATAATGTCAACTTGGTTGTTTTGATATCAGATGATGTTGATGACGATGATGATGAAGCAATAAGTGTTATCGTTAGTTCAGCTCATGCTGTAGATCAAAAGGTTAAGAAACAAACTATAGGCATACCCATATCCAGGACATTGTTGCTCATAGTCGTATTAGGCCTGGGAAAATGCTACTCAACAAAAACTCCTCAACTTTAAACACTGTTAATAGACCAAATGTGACTGTACGAGATACAAGTAACAATATTTGAGTGCAACCTTACTGGTTATCTGAAGATCGAATAAAATGGCGGAATGCGTTTACCATTTTAAGAACTCGAAAAAAAACGGTGAAACAATCATAGACAAGTACTCTTCGTAAAGATCTAGTCAAAAACAACATATTTTGCAATTCCGACATACTACACATGCAAATGAGACAGTGTGGTTGCTAAAGAATTACCATGGGTAAACGTCTAGCTCCGCCCCCAAGTAACAGGGCTTGTGGAGAGTTTTTCAACAATGGGGGGTAATACGTTATGATGTTCTTGAAATTTCATTATCATTAGGTTTTGATTGTTTACATTTGGTGCTAACTGAATAGACTTATCCTACCTTTTGGATAGAAAACTTCTCATTGATATGCACGATAACTCTTTTTGTTGACAGTTAAATTATATTCAGTCCTGTGAATAATGATTGGCTCAAAAACACGGTTGAACAACTATTCCGTTATTTTATATCCGTAGTTTTACGACGAATCTTTCTTTGAACTGAGTACAATTGCTAATTTACTTCGTCTTTGGTAGTTTGGCTCGAAAGGGCGTGACTAACACTGCAACCTTAATAAATACGGGCCTAGTGAAGTTTTACGGGAATGGTGTGACCTTCTATTATATGTTGAATTCACGATTCGTGTTTATAGTCGAAACTTTTTCTAAACGATCGTGATAACCAGGTGACTGACTTAACTAAATCTCCTTATTAGTACACAGTAGTGACTGTTATTAACAATCAAATGAAGTACAAAGTGGAAACACTAACGAATATTTGAATTAGTCGTATGCGATTCAATAAACCTCGTTGGCTGTTCTTAAATCTGAAGCCAGTCGGCACACTGATAGGATTTCACTGATCGGCCTATTAAAGGATTTGCATACAGATCCCTAAAAATAGACCAGATAACGATAATTTTCGCTTTGATTTCGCCTGATACCCACAATAAAGCATAAGCCACCGACCAGCATTCTCCAACCTAATCTGTCATTGGCATTTTTTTATAGTTCTATTCATTTGTTATTCATTCTCCTCATATCCGTCTCCGTTTTTCGGCGTGATATGTTCCTTGGCCTTCCTGATTTGCCTTGACCTTGAGGGTTCAAAGTGAAGACTTGTGAAAAAATGGGTGCTTTCAACAGTGTATGTCTAATCCACTTCCACCTCTTCATAGTGTTGTCCTGTCCACGCTATCGAATGCTTTCTCGTTTTCAATGAAGTTGACGTAGAGTGGTGAGTTCCATTCAATTGATTGTTCCACAATGATCCGTAGTGTTGCGATTTGGTCGGTACACGATGGATCCTTACGAAATGCAGCCTGTTGAACTCGAAGTTGGGAGTCTACGGAATCTTTCATTCTGTTTAACAAAACTTGGTTGGAGACTTCTCCTGGTATTGAGAGAACAGTGATTCGTCTGTGGTTCTCACACTTGCCGAAATCTCCTTCATTTTGTATCTTGATGAGATGTACTTCTTTCCAGTCTTTTTGTGCTTGTTCTTCCTTCCAAATGTTGCTAAATACAATGTGCAACATCTTTGCAGTTACTGCTGTGTTTGCTCTCAGTGCCTCAGCTGGAATGTATTGTGTTCCTGCTGCTTTACCACACGTCATTTGTCTGCTGGCCATGCTGATTTCTTCAACTGGTGGTGGGTCAGCAATAACTGTTGGCTCCGTATGTGCTGCTTCGATATCGGTTGTGTTCGTTCTGACTTATCCTTTCAAGGGTTTATTGAAGTCATCTACCCTCCTGTTTCCCTGATCTTCAGTGTCGGTGTTTACTTTTCAGTCCTGATGCGTTTCTTCACTTGCTTGTTTGCTTCTGTATATTCGACCTTTACCTTATCTTTCGCTGCACTTGTACCTTCTTTCGTAAATTGTGATCCATTTCTTTGTGATAATACTTCTGTCCTAGAACCACTCGACATTTTGAAGCTAATGCCTTCTTGTTCAGTTTTTAGTTGTTCTCCATAACGTCAGATCACTTGATATAGGTCCTAATCTTGGTTGTATTGCTTTCGGGCATGCGCTGATCAGTTGGCCCTGAGTGACATTGGTTGATGTGGTATTTTAGTATGCTATTTTTGTGGCTCTCCGAAGGACGTCTCTATGGCGTATAAATAGACTCGATTTGTGTGCTTGTTAACCTCACATTTTCTGGGTGCTTGCAAAATACGCTTTCTACGTCTTGTCAAGACTTCTTCCTCTACTTAGTGGGGTTTCGAGACGCTCGTATTACACTAGCCTATAGTGTGACAAGATCTGTTTTTCGTTCTCGTTTAGCGACTACGTTGAACTCGTAATAGTACAAGCATATCAAATGTCCAGCATAACAGTTTTTGCATAGATCGTAAATAGCCTCCAACCAATTGCTGAGGGCTATCTTGAATTCGTTGAGCCCTCCCATATCCTGAAGAAATGCCGTAATAAAAATTTTTGATGTTGTTCGGCCGTTGCCCGGTGTTTCTTGAGTTTCATTTTCATTTTGGAGACCAACATGTGGTGATCTGAGGCTACATCAGTCCTTTCCTGGTTCTCACATCCTCCATAGTCCTTCTGAACGTTTTGTTGATACAGATATGATCAATTTGGTTTTGAGTAGTGTGGTCCGGTGAAATCCATGTGGCTTTGTGTATGCGTTTGTGCGGGAATATTGTGCCACCGATGACCAGTTTGTTGAAGGCACATAGGTTTGCAAATCGCTCACCGTTTTCGTTCTTTTCTCCCAGTCCATGTCGTCCCATGATGTCTTCATATCCAGTGTTGTCCTTGCCATTCTTGACGTTTAGGTGTCCCATCAGAATCGTCAAACCCTTAGATGAGCATCTCTCCAAGATTGACTGCGACCGCATAGGATTTATCTTTAACCTCTTCGTTGGTACGTAGAGTTGGATGACGTTTATTGTAATGCCCTCTATTCGTTTTCAAGAATGCTTTGATAATCCAGAGTCCATGAGATTCCCATCCTATCAGTGCAATTTCTTGTGCGTGTGAAGCCTTTTCTTCTTCATGACCGCAGTATAATAGCAGCTCTCCTGAAGCTATTCTCAGTTGTCTCACTAGCGTTCAATATGTTTCACTTATTCTAAGCTCCTCCAGGTTGTATCTTTTCATTTCTGCAGCAACTTGAAATAGACTTCAAATCTCCCATATTGGTCGAACATTCCATGTACCTAAAAGAGTGGTTGCTTTGGTTGTGAGAATGAGAATCGCCCTCGTGACTTCCAAGGGAACTCGGCTTTCATCATGCGATGTCATTACCCTCCTGAAAGAAGACCTAACTCTCACGATAGAGTTTAAATTGTTAAATCCAAGCTCATCCCTCCTCCTCCTTCCTTCCTTCTTTCAAAGAAGGAAGAAATTTCATGCAAAGTATGTACTGATATAAAACCTAGAGTTTTCAGGTTCTGGTTCCCTAAAAAGGACTGAGAGAAGTCTTAAGACTTCACGTTTTGAGCTGATTTTGACACACACCAACAATAATTTACAATAACGTATCCTGAGATTAAATGTTCACGTATTACTTACGTAATTTCACTACGAACAGGTCTGAAAAATTACATGAAATCTTAAAAAGCATTTTACTGTCTATATGTCCTTACCAAAAACTTCTAGACATTTACATTATTAGAAGTCAAGGTTAAGTTCTGCCGTAAAACTTTGCAGAAATGAAAATATTCTTTCGGATGGTGATCCATTAAGATACTGGCAGCATACGGTAGGTAGCCAGTAGTTTTAGTTACAGCTGCCGTTTAGATATTTGAAGTATTATATTTAGTAATAAGGTTATACAAGGTTATCAGACCTCTTCGGAAGATCTACTGTTTGGTCAGTATGTTTCAGCAGCATTGATGTCGCAGTGCGTACTACTATGTCACACATACATGAACTATTCTGGCTTTCAGGCAGACAAATTAATCCTTTATTCGGGTTTTTATCTACCAAAATAATGACTTTGTAAACTATAGGTTTATAATTCTAACAAAATTTATTCGGCCGTATATGGGTGCATAGTGTTAACACTTTACGTCACATGTTTTTAGCTTATTTTCTTGTGGCTATAAGCAGTGAGTCCAGCCTTATCAAATGTATTTGGCACGACTATATTAAATCAGTTGACTGGACGGAATCCTCATTCCGTGGCCTGTCAAATTCTTCGGCTACTTATTTCCTTACATCAAATCACTGGAAGAAGTCACATCAGTTTGTTCGCCTCAACACGTGAATTATGCATAACAATAACACAATCTGCTCGGTAGTTTTTGTAAATGGTTTCGACCTACACTATGTAATATCTTGCCTTTCATATTAAATGCATCATTCCATTCCCAGACCAAATATTTTCTTAAGAAGCAAAATGCTGACTTTTACAATGAAGCGAGTCAATCTAGAGTCAGTATAGGTAGTCACATCTTGGTAGTTCCACAACTTTTGGAGAGACAGTTGATTTTATTAGTATAGATAAGTTCATTAATACCGATCTGCACTTCAAACCAACGTACTAAACGTCTGTCGGTCTTGATAAGTCTCTACAATATAAAAAAGAACGAAACAATAAATGAAATATCACCATGCATCAAATCACTGTGCCTTCATTATTAGATTCTGTGAATCAACTTAATTTTTAACGATGTGGTTTTTCTTAATCTCCGCGGTCCATAGGATTATTTGCCAATTCGTTATCTAACTGGTGACTTCTCATCATTGACCTACATATGTGCAGGTATACAGCTTGTGTTCCAGCTAGTATCTGCTGATTCATTAAACAGCTCTAAACAAGAATGTTTCCTGTAGTGCTCTTCTCTTCTTTCCCTTCTTTCGACTTTTCAGAACCTCATTTCGTTGATGCAGATATTGTCGATATGGTTCTGAGTAGTTTATTCCGGTGAAATCCATGTGGCTTTGTGTATGCGTTTGTGCGGGAATATTGTGCCACCGATGACCAGTTTGTTGAAGGCACATAGGTTTGCAAATCTCTCACCGTTTTCGTTCCTTTCTCCCAGTCCATGTCGTCCCATGATGTCTTCATATCCAGTGTTGTCCATTCCAACCTTGGCATTTAGGTCTCCCACAAGAATCGTCAAAGCCTTTGGTGAGCGTTTCTCGACGATTAACTGCAACCTTTCGTAGAATTGATCTTTAACGTCATCACTGTAGTCGTTGGTAGGTTCATAACATTGGATGACGTTCATTGTCATGTCCTCTTTCTTTGTTTTGAAGGATGCTTTGACGATCCTCGGTCCATGAGATTCCCATCCTATCAGTGCCTTTTGTGCATGTTTGGACAGCGTCAATGCAACTCCTCGTGTAGGTGAAGCATTTTCCTCTTCATGACCAGAGTATAACAGCAGTTCCCCTGAATCTAGTCTCAGTTGTCCTACCTGTGTCCAATGCGTTTCACTGATGCCGAGCACCTCCTGGTTGTATCTTTTCATTTGTGCCGCAACTTGAAATAGTCTTCCAGTCTCCCACAGTGTACGAACGTTCCATTTACCTAAAAGATGGTTGCACTGGTTGTGAGAAGAGGCTTCGGCCCTGTGACTTCCGAGGAAAATCGGCTTTCATCATGAGACGTCATAATTCTTCATTCAACTCCCAGGGCAGAGTTAAAATGGTTTGATTTATTTTTTCTGGTTAGCGTTTTTTTGGCAAGTTAGTTTATAGTTGGGTTGGGGGCGCCAACCCCATGTCCAACCCCTCCTTTATCCGTGCTTGGGACCGGCATTAGCCTCGAAGGTCCTACTGGCGGAGTTACAATTATTTGTACAGTGGATAAATCGAAAAAACTAAAAGTCCAGGGAAGCCAATATTCATCATGACGTGTAAGTTCACTAGGGTTTCTATGCTGTATGCGACAAATCAGTTTTTCCCACAATTAGTTACAGAAGGTCATTAGAAACGTACAATCAGGGAACATATACAGATGTTTCTGACAAGCAAGGAATTCACTCACAAAGGCGCTCAGAAATTATAAGCTCAGTTATCACTTGAAGCTAATCGACTAGCGGGTCTCAAACGCGCAGAGCTTATTCCATCATGCTGCATTTCTGAGACGTGTCACAGCCAATTGATAGGTCCTGATAGTCAGACCAAAAAGTGCAGTGATGATGCAAAGTCCCTTGCAAAAATTATCCTGAAACATTTTATTCACCACCTACCTACTTACTGACTTCCCCACGCCTCTCACCCCCAGTAGCATGGGCTACCGACCAGTATTCTGCAACCTAATATGTTCTGGGCCTTCTTTTCCACTTTTGTCCAAATAATGTTCATTTTTCTTATTTCTAACTCTATTTCCCGGCGTAATGTGTTTTCCGGTCTTCTCCTTTTCTTTTGGCTTTGAGGATTCCAAGTGAGGTTTATCTTGTGACGTAGTTGGGAGATTTCCCCAAGGTAAATTTTACTACATCCAGCGCTTTTTTCTGCTTTCGTCCTCTACTGAAAACTGGTTTGTTCTCTCCCTCAGTAGGTTGTTGCTGAAGACGTCTGACGATTTGGCCACTACATGATCGATTGTCACGTCTAACCTTTAGTACAGTGAGCATAACTTGCGCCGTAAAAGGAGTCTGAAGAATGAAATTATGAACTTAGAACTTCAAAATCTGAAAAATAAAACTCTTAGGTATGAATATGGTTAACGTCTCCATACCACCGAGAGTACCCTCAATATAAGCAACACCGCTTCGTATAACGTACTTATGTTCAATAAGTCAAGACAAAGCTCCAGACAATGTATGTAGTGCGCATCATAACAATTTTCGAATGTGTCCGATAGACTAAACTTCCGTGCCACCGGTTAGTGACACTTTTCTCAATACCTTTTAATTAAAGGAATCTTTAACATACTATGACTTACGTGACTACAATTTACATAAATTATCTCCTTTTATTTCACTAACACGGTAGGAATGATGGTCTATGCTATACAAGATATCTGCAGACTGCATTGTAAAAGTCCTTGACCGCTTGTGGAGGGTAGACGTGACATACATATCCTTCCGAAAAGTTTTTAATCAAGTCAATAGCATAGGCTTCATGATAGGGCTAAAACTCAGTATCAAGCCACCACTTCACATCTAGATAATTTTTTAAGGTTGGGATAAGCTTCGTTTCTTCTTAGGCCCCTTAAATTTTCTCTTCCTTTTAATTTTACACTATTGGCCACCTTCCGCTGGTTATGTTAGACTCTTGAGAAGAGTTTGCAACCAAGCTAATAAAGCTGGCCATTCTGGAAGGTAAACATAACTTCCTCACGTTAGAAGAAATGGAGTCGTGGTATACATTGCCAGGTTGGGCGAGTCCTTCATCAAAAAACTTGAGATTTATTTTGGGATGATGTGAATATTTAGAGCTTGCCAAGTCTTTTATTCGCACCAGCTGGATAATCAAGAATTTAAAACAGACAATCTGAGAACCAGGTATAAAGGACGTCGAAAATATGCCTGGAAAATAATTGGTTTATTTAGAAGTGTATATAATCTGGCTAGTTGCTAAGTAGCGTAGTCAATGGTAGTCTTTCGAGGCTGCATAACCTGATGTCTTCAACCACGATCTGTCCAGTAAAACCAACTAGGATATCACCTACGTTGCAAACTAATTGAGCTATGTATTCTGAAAATCTGTTTTCACGCTACATAGTCTCAAGGTCCGAAAATAGCATCTCATCGCAATATACAGATATTTCTGACTACCTCGACTAATTTACCTTGGCTTTAAACCGGATCTATTGATGACCTACTGCTGCTCGATGTGAACGTTGGTTAAGACATAGCTTCTGTAAGAAAAGATTTTAGTCTCAAATCTCTAATTTTTTCAAATTTATTAATCTTGATTTATCAGTTGTCAAAGTTTTTTAGGGATTGGTTTCATCCGTTCACAGTTAGTGAAAACTACATGCGCGCTGAACATTGAATATCTGCTTTATTTGTTCGGCTAGGTGGTTCATTCAACCTGAATGTCAGCATGGTCGTTAAGCCGTCTTCTTTGGTTGTCGATGATCGTGATGTTGCTAAATCTAGTGTTGCTCCTGTTCGCCAAAAAAGGAGTTCCATTACATTCGATGGTGGCTTGAGGAAGCGTCGAAAATGTGAGTAGTTTCACAAATTTCTCATCATGTTGACTAGTTTATATGTGAATGTTTTTTCATTGCATTCGTTAGTTTATACATTATTTACTTATTTTCAGTTCATTTGATGATCCTGGGTAATGTTTAGTTTGGTTTTTCTCGGTTTTTTTCAAAGTGACCTACACAGTCGCACAAAATATGATAACTATAAAAGAGTTCATGTAATGTACTGTTGGTTTGTTTAAGGTCTGTCATGATTTACACAGTACATTTATGATGCTCTCTAGACATATCTTACTTTGTTACAGCCATTTCGATCCAGTTCACTTATAGTAAACAGCGAGAATTGTTTATTGTAATGTCCCTATAAATTGTGCACCCTATCCAGTTCTGTTCCGCGAGTTATAACTCATTTCTTCGTGCTCCTTCTCAACTTTTTTTCATGCCCCATAGCACGTTTTCTTATCGTACTGGCCATCATGTTTGAAATTTATTGTTGTCATTGTCACATTCTTTATCTATCGAGACACCTGACTTCAAGTACCTGGTCTTAAAATCAAACTATGCATTAACACACTCACTCTAACTCATACTTGGTTTGTGAATAGGTGATAGTTTTTTTTACTGCATTCGTTAATCCTGTTTTTGCCGTTATTGGGATGTGGAAACAGTTAACAGATACAAATCGATGTCAAGTAGCCTCCTAACTCTACCTTGTATCTGATCGTGAAAATTTCTTCCTGAATTTCTCAAGAGCATCAAATTAATTCCATTTTACTGACAAAACTTTCATGTCGTAGTTTTGTTATACCGTAAAGTTCATTTCTGTTCCAAATATTTCGAGACGACTAAACTATTGAGCGGGGGATACTGTTGTTAGACGTAGACTGAAGTTGTAAACTTTAATTAAAGTAATTTAGATACGTTGCATTTTCAGGTGCCTATTAACTTGGTCTAAATTTACAGAGTTAGATGAAACTATGACTAGGCAATGATGTAGAGTCAGAAATTCGGTGAACAATTCAGAAGCATGTAGATGTTTTAGAAAGTATAAGTCAGTTAAAGTCTGTTCGCAAAGTCTCAAAACCTGTCCTAATAGTGCATCGTGGTTGTTTTATCTCGTAAACACCGTTTTCTACCATTATTTTTACAATGTCTTTGTACTGTTGATATAACTAGTTACACTTACTCTAATTGTCTCGATGTTCTGATTTACGTAAATCTGATTCGATTGGTATATGTCAGCCAGTCAGTCATCAGGAACGTACTTACATCATTTCAAGTTGCCATTAGTACAGAGAGTTAGAATTTCAGACTCAAATCCTATGGTGTTAGGGTCAGTAGAAGTATTAGTGGTAATGAAAAGATTAAGGATTGAAGCTTTGATTAGACAAGTATTATCTAGCAAAGTAAATTTGAAGAGAAAAAAGTTCATGAGAAATTTAGAATAATATAAGCTGAGAGTAGAGAAAAAAGTGGATGTATGTATGTCATTACGTACGATTTTAAGTCATGTCATTCAAAGTCTTAACATCGGTTACGAAGCAAGAGAGATATAAAAGGCAGCGGCAATGGTTAACAGTTTATCAAGAAGACCGAGACTGGGAATCCAAGTTAGTGAAACTATCTCAGAAGAAGATGGGTTCGTTATTCATCCTCAATCCCGAAGATTGGTTTGATGAGCGCAACACAATGGATCATTTCAAGTGACCTTCAGCTATATTTTGGTTACCCACGATCTCCAGTAAACCTGAGTGTCAAGTTGGTGTAAGTCCTCCAACTCTTAATGAAGTTGAAAAGGCTAAGGGAAACCTGAAACGAGGTAGAGCAGCAGGTCGTGATAGGTTAAAACACTAGATTTTTAAAGATGGTGATCCAATTTTAGCAGTCAGACTGAGATCTTGTGTAGAATCAGGGAACTAGACGTAATCCCATCTGACTGGTCTCAATCACTGATTGTCCCGGTCTGTAAGAAAGGACAAAAGTCCTCCTGTGACAAATCACAAGGGAATCAGCCTAACTAGTATAGTGTCCAAAATATTAGCTTCAATAATATTTCGACACCTAACTACAGGTCTTGAGAAGCAGATTTGAGAAAACCAGGCTGATTTTCCAGCTGGACGTGGTTGTATAGACCAAATATTCACACTTCTTCAGGTCCTAGGACATAGACACGGGTTCAGGCGTAACATGATAGTGCATTTCTCGACCTTAAGGTGGCACTCAGCTCTGTCGACCGTGAGGTTCTGTGACAGTGTCTGTCACTCAAGGGTGTACCAGGGAAGTATGATAACCTCATACAAACTCTACTCGAACACTACTAGTCGAGTGAGAGTTTATGGCGAACTGTCATGCGAGTTGACTACCTCGAGTGGTGTCTGTTAGGGCTGTCGACTTTCTCCATTCCTACTCAACTTTGTCATCGACATGCTTTGAGCAACGACACTTTCATCGTGTGAATTTTCAGCAGTTGAACTTTTACCAGGAGATTCACTTGTTGACTTAGAATATGCCGACGACATAGTTCTATCTAGTGAAGACAATGACAAAATGCAGAGTCTTCTGGCTACCATGATCAACAATGCGAACATGTGGAAGATGCAATTTTCTCCACTGATATGCAGAATGTTGGTTCAGGATTGACTTGCGTCGTCACCTGAACTAGTGATGGTGAATGAAGTAGTTGAGCTTGTCGACCGATGGTTGGAGAATTTGAATGACATAGCTCAAAATCGTGTGCAATGGAGCAGGTGCATCCACTCTTTGTGTTTTACTGAGTGATAATCGTCTGAATTCCTCATCACCTGTATATTTCTCTTTTCACATGAATTTCACTGGATCATACTCCTTAAGTCTTTCTTTGTCTTCTTTCATCACCTCATGAGCCCAAGACCTTTACTCGTCTCTTTTTGAATTAATGTGACTGAATTAAACTTTATTAATTGCTTCGAACCGTAATTTTTTGATTACCGCTAATTGATAATTCGATCTGTGTGCTATGTGGTATGGCAACTTAAACTAATCTACGTACGTACGAAGTCTTACTTTGTAGCTGTCTTATTTTCGCTCTTGAACTGAGTGCTTTACCTTCACCAGCGAAGCCACTTGAAGCTGCAATTGAACCTGTATTTATGGAAAGAGTAAACTAAGGCGGTCAAATGAATGACATCTTTTATCATGTAATCGGTTTTTGGTTACGCAGAATGCACCAGTCGCGCGAGATTCCCTAATGCTATCTAAGGAAACCTGTTGTCCCATTTGACACAATTCTGAACATTAGAAACTCCACTATGTAGTCTCAATCGAGGTTTCAGGAAACCAGGAATAACATTTCATGAACTCAACTCGTAAGCATTAGTAGCGTTAGGTGATGAAAGTTTGCGAGAAAGTACCGTTGTGGAGGTATGATGGTTATTAAGAAATAAGGGAAGGATTTAATTGTCACCAAGTTAGTCTCGTGTGCTGTTAGAGATCTGAGAGCGGATGTCACTCTCGGGTTGTCCACGCCTTAAAAGTAGGATTAGTGTTGGTCTTAGCGACCAAGGGGCGTGATCACTAATTAAAAAGGACAACTGCTCTAGGCCTATCATGCACGGCCTTTTTATGGGAAGCTATTGTGTTAGCGGCGCTCTTCAAAAGGCCTTATTGCTGGAGACGGAAATACGTGGTTATTGTGAGGTGTGACTTTTTTTAGGGTCAACCTTTTCTGACCGCTTCCTTCCATTGTGAATGGGCATCGTTGACGCGGATGTTAGTAGTCAGAGGGAAACGCGTTACTAGTGTCATACCCCTCTAGAGTCAGCAGTACGACTTCTCCTTCAAACCTTGAGTTGCTGTTTTTAGTTTTACCGTTCTCCAATCGACCTGTCTGGCATGATAAGTTTATTGGTAATATAGTAATAGAAATGCTTCCCCGCATACGCATTATTATAGTTTTCATATTTAGTTGGAACTGATAGTAATGTGCATGGGTTTACCTTTGCTTACTAATCACCTATGGTCAACATTTTATAAATGCATTATGGTCACTGTAAAACCGTACTTTTCTAACACCTAATTTCACCCTGTGTTATAAATAAATGAACATTAGCAAGTGTTGTTAAAGTATTCATTTGTCGTTGTAAACCAATGAAGAGACATGAATGAGGAAGCTGTCGATCTTTACAACGTTAAACACGGTGAATTTGTAAATATTGTCTCAATAAATGAGAAGTAAATATTAGAGGCTCTATCATTTTCCGGTAGGCCACCCTTTTCTAATTTATTTTTCTAATTCTAACTGCTAAACAACTTTTCCAGAAACTGATTTTGGTTCAAGAGCGAATATCCCTAAGTGTTATCCAACCCGTTCAAAAATCTACTGGTTTGAATAAGTAGACTATTAGTTATTACTGTATCTCCATTCAGTTTTAATCCTGTAGAAAATAGGTTATTCTTTTTACTGTGAAATCATTTCGATTTTAGTCGAAACTTCTGGAGGTCCTCATTCTCCGTTATCACAACCAAGTGGACACACAAAGCAGATTCGGAACAACGTCACTTCTGCTCTTCCAGGTGTTGCTCTTTTTCTCGGTGTTGGAGATACTGGCCAACTTGGTTTGGGACCAGATGTAACAGAACGCTCAAGACCTGCTCTCCCAAGTGCTGCAAGCCTTGCTGCGTTACAAACGACTAAGGAAAATTCTTTCTCTTATTTCACACAAATATGTTGTGGGGGCATGCATTCTGTTTGCTTGACAGCTAGTGGTAGTATTGCTACCTGTGGTTGCAATGACGAGGGAGCCTTGGGTAGGCCGACGGGTACGGAGTCTGGATCTTGCGACTCGTCTGTAAACAATCACAATGGCTCCTACCCTATTGTAGACGAGTGTCATCTTGGACTGGTACTCTTTCCACCGAAAGTAAAGATAGTCATGGTAAGTAATTGACAGACATTCCAAAATAATACAGTTAATTTTAACTGTCTAGTTTATTTTCAGAATTGTATAAAACCAATGATAATTGTTCACTCGGTAGTAACCAATATCATAGTGTTTGTTCGTCAATGGTAATTTAAATTTTTCAAAATTTCGAGGTGCCTTGACGTCAAAGAACTTTGTTTTAATACCAAATGGTTGAAAATAGATGGCGATACTATGTACCTACTTGCTGCTAGGAATAACAGTTTCATGTAAGCACCATCATTCATAGCGATTCGAAATAGGTCATGATGTGCTTCGCAAAGTTCTGAATCATTGCATAGAAGGTGTTGACTGGTCATGTTGGTGTTTACTGAGTCTTAAGTCACCGCAGGTTCCAGGCATGGATAAAGGAGGAGAGTTGGGCATAGGGTTAGTGAACCCATCCAGTAGAAAACTAACCAAAAAACACAGTACTCCGAGAAATGGAGAGGGACGTTAGAAGAATGAATAACAAATGGATAGAACTAGAAAGAAAGGCCCAGGACAGGTTAGGTTGGAGAATGCTGGTCGGTGGCTTATGCTCCACTGGGGAGTAACAGGAGTTAGTATTATTTATTGTGCTTATTAATTTACTGATGATACGATCTTTTCCTCTTCCATCTTTTCGTAACATAAGTAGGACTCTCTGAACCTTAAGTAGAAAAAGATGCTAAGTAGTTATAACTTGAAAATCATGTATGATGATGCATTTAAGAAGTGTTAGATTTGAAGTAACACGATATTTAACCTCAGTTGCCACACTCCATAGAGTATAGAAATGAACAAGAATATGCAAAATACTAAAATTAGCTAGAAAAGTATTTAATATCTAAGAAATAATTGTCAGATAAATATAATTACCTGAGTATAATGGCGATAAGTAGGATGGAAATTGTGAACTGCATCAACAAGTATATCCGTAGGATCATTAGTTGCTTTGATACTTGCAGATATACTTGGGATCACACTCGAATTTTTAACGTCGCATATTACTTACTAACCTAAAATGCACTGAACACGCAGTAAAGACTCTGACAAAATTCAGTTTTCTGATCACCCTGTGCAACCATGTTTGCGATGCTTTTTTCGTCCTCTGAATACAAAATCTTCCTTCGAGGTCGGTTTGCACCAGCTCCTAAAGTAATGATAGTGAACAAATTAGATGAGGGTGTTATTCACTTCACTTATCTTGGAAGTTTCATCGGCTTTCGTGAGCTCGTGTCAGACGAGGTATCGACACAAATTCATAAAACTTGGTTGGCTTTTTCCAACTTAGGTACTAATGGCGTAAGCGGTTTACTGAGCAGCAGTTTAGTCTGTTCCTTATGACTTTAAAACGTAATCCTTAACAAGAGAGGAAATTCGTAGATTACTAATACTCAAAAAGTATATTCGAAGTATTATTCGTGTGTGTCAAGGTCATAGATTTGGAATTCTAAGGTTAGCAGGGGGCTGCAAGATACGTATGTTAAATCACCTGTCGAGGTTCTGTTCATTGACTGAGGTCATTTTCCGCATTGTATGCATTGTATTTGATCCTACTGCAAGTAATGTTACTAATTGTACTACTCTGGTATGATTAAATGACTACTGCTTTTAAGTTTGTTTGGTGGGTCTATCTAATCAGTAAGCTAACCGTCTCATTATGTCCCGATGTTTAGGTTTCCGCTGGTGATAGTCATACTGCAGCTTTGGACACCAATGGTCAGGTGTGGTTATGGGGAACATTTCGAGGAGCTAGTGGCCCTATAGGACTTACACAACCTGGGGAGATTTGTACAACGCCGAGACCATTACTACCTTATGCTATGAATAGTTCCACTGAAAACAATGATAATGTTCCCAACAGTGATCCCAAATTATCTAATCGATCAACGAATACAGCGCTTCTAACTCCTAGTACACACGTGGTGAAAATCGCCTCTGGGCAAGACCATTTGGTTTGCCTGACAGATGAAGGTCGTCTTTACACTATGGGGTGTGGTGAGCAAGGTCAACTAGGTCGTGTTGCTGAACGGTTTGCAAAAGATGGTGGTCGTTCAGGAATTAGTAAGGGAAATATTTTGGTGTGTTTTTGCTGTAATTTTAAACTGCTATGTGAAAAATTGTCTGATTATGATTTCTATAGGCAGTCATTAAAATTATCGAATTTAAATTGCTTAATTTGAGGTATGTTTTACATGGGGTTGTTCGTGATCGTCAATTTTTCTTGCATTCACTCTGTATTTTTCCTTAGATTTCAAGTTTCTAAATTACATTATGAATTTTGTTCTAATTCCACTATTCGGTATTTTATTCTCAAGTTATATCTTTTTCCCCTACTATTTTTTTATTACCCCTATTACTGTTACTTTCTCCTACTATGGAGTTCGTCACGTTCTGATGGTTTGTAACAACTTGAACCCATGTAGAGTTGCGCAAGGTTTTACATTGTGTACGATTGATTGACTTACTAGCCTTACATTAACTTCCATTTTAATATCAGGAAGGTCGAATTAATTAAACTCGTGTTGTAGTGACATGCCAAATAACCACTAAACTTCAGCTCAAGTTCGAACACTGCACTACCTAATTTGATCCGACCAACTGGGTGACATCCTTAACCATCACACGGAAAGTATGGTTCAGAGCTCTATATGAACTTGTACTTGATAAATTAATTACTTCAAAACTAATGACTCCTGTTTCAGGTGCTATAGATGATAACCAATCATTTTGATAGAATACCTAAAGATTTGTAAACTATAATGTCCAAAGATGAAGCCATTCTGAACAGTTCGAAAAGTTAATACTTTTAGTAATATCAAGTCTGATCAACTTCCATTGCATATATATTGTGCTGCATTGTCTCTCAATTATCCCATTTGCTGAGGAAGATATTTTTCTTAGGTAGTTAGAAGGTATCAGTCACTATGTGCCGACAGTGGGAACTTAAGCAGACTTACAATTTGCATTATGTATAATATTTTTTCTATCTACTAGTGACGATTTTTGGCCAGTTTCAAACTTGCTTATCGAAATTCGAACCTTTTGGTTATTTCATGCTGAACTGAACAACATTTTCGTTGGACCTAAATATTATTTGCAAAGAAGTAAAGTTTGGAAGAGTTTTCTGTTGGCATAACCCGTCCATTAATACCTTCATGCTATAGCGGCATGTGTGAATATTGTCCAAGTAATAACTTTACTGCTCTACTTTTAGGACCATTGACCATGATCCTTGAATCAGTAGTGTCAAACACATCACATTTCTAGAGGTTTAGAGCAACATCCTGACTTCCTTTATGTAACATATTGTTGAAATATATCAATGAATTTTAGGCTCACTACTTCAACCTACTGAATGTCGAGTTCGCGGAGCCGTACGTTTTTCCGATGTGTGGGCAGGAGGTTTCGCTACATTCGCTCGTTGTCAAATTACTGGTGTCATATATGCTTGTGGTCTAAATAATTATGGCCAACTAGCATTACGCGATACAACCGGTCATGGAAAATCGCTTTCATCCAATACTGTAGAAGAATTTGCCGATGTTGAATTGAATATGGCTGGAGATGCCGCAAAATTAGTAACTGATCGACAGGAAGCTGATAGGTCGGAGGCTCAACTGATCGCTCGACAAGGTCCTCTTATCCAGTTCATGTTAATTCGAGCATTTGGATTTGATCCGGACCAAGATTGGCGTCAGTTTGCGATCAGTATGCATCATACACTAGCTCTAAACAATCTTGGTAAGGTATAGGATACGACATTTTGTGTTGGTTTATAGTTTTTTAATTTTCATTGTTCAATATGCTTATTTTAAATGTCATCTCTCAAAAACCTTTAATCGTAATTTCGTTGAAATAATTTTAATTCATTTTCCATTCAGCCACTCAAAAATTATATTTTACATACGTTTATCCAGGGACATGGTTGGGTTGACGTTACCCTAACCATTATAGTTAAAGCGACACCAGTCAACTGCATCTCAGCTGTTAGCGCCTAAACATTTATTTAGTTTTGGTTGTGGATGATGAGTTTTCTAAGTGAACTCAAGATCTGATTTCGTAGCCTCTTTGAATAACCCGGAACTATATCTAAACAGAAACTTGAACACAAGAGAAAAGATAAAAAGCACGAGAAAACACATAAGGGTTAGTTTATGTACAGAAAAATGAGGGTATTTATAAATTTACACACGACATTTTGCTCCTGGAAGTTTTAGGAACCATACTAAATATAGTAACTGAGTGACTAAATCGTGACTCGTGATTCCTGATTTTCTAGATGTTTCTGCTAATATTCATTTCGATAAAACGTTTCCTCGTGTCTCTGGAGACTTTTCCAGGGGATATTCTAGGACTTCCCAACTGTAGAGTTGAATGCGCGATTTCATACACTCAGTTCCCTTTATTATTTTGAAGTTAGCATAAACAAAGATTGGCTCAGAATAATGTGGATTCGTTCTATTTTTCTAGGTTCCCACCAACCATAAAAATATGTTACAGCCATATGTAGTGTGACGGCAGAATTTCGAAAACATCAGGATAGTGATTAGAGATCAAAGGGATGAAAAATTTCAGATCGTTTTGTAATGACATGATCGAGAATTTTATGGTTTGGAACCAGTCAATCGAAATCAAAATTTCTATTTCAAGAAAAATTATCATGATGTAATCAAAGCATGAAAAAAAGTTGAAATTAAGGATGGTGTAGTAGAATATTGCCAGGGTAAAGGAAGATTTACTGTTTTTTTGAACACATAAATTTAACTTTAGTCGTTTAATAACTATAGCTTCGCAAATTTCATCACCTTGAGAAAATTCAATATATCCGCTTGATGTTCTTGTATCAAGGAAATAGCGAGACCGCACTGCTAAATGTTTTTAGTTCACCTGACCTTAGACTTTCTGGAATATGTTCTTTGTATCGAATGTAGGCCCTTCTTACTGTTCTACTAATGTAATTGTTTTGGCGGATACTTGTGAATTTGTATATGTAGTTGTCGGTAACATGAAAGGGATATCTGTCCGCCTTTTATAGTGATAAAGAACGTGTTTTGGAAAAAGCAATCAATTTAGCTGCAGGATATGTTTTTGTTAACGTAGTTTTTGGTCTGTGATCGACTGTCTCTGTAATTCCACCTTTTGGTTTCTGATCACTATTCAATGTTCCAGAACTTCTGCCCTCACACTTTTTATGGTTGTAACATTCTTATGACCTTATTAGCTACATCGTGATACAGCATTTACTAGTATGTCAATTTCTCTAATAATTTTGATTTTAAAATACTATAGGTTGTAAGCGGTTGATGAGAACATAGAGAAATAAAACGAATTCATATTATTCTGCACCAATTTTCGTTTTTGCTCTCTTCAAGAAAGTTTCAACATACTGCTTCGAGATCATGTAATTTGAAAAGTGTGTTGTTGGAAATTAGCAGTGGCTTCTGGAGATGCTTAATATCTCAAATTATTTTTCCTTGATTCCCTTTTCACAACGCTAACCCACTAGTACGTTTTCGAATTACTTTAGTTTCTACGTTCTGTTTGTGTAATTATTATTTGATAGTAGATGTTATTTCTCAGAAATGTATATAATTCAAGCTTCTTAACCTTCGGTGTTATACCTTTGTAGGTCATGTGTACGCTGTTGGTCGACCAGATTACGGTCGTCTTGGTTTGGGGTACGATTTGAATGGATCGAAAGTTTCCGTGAACAAACCTACACGCGTTCTCGGTGCACTTAGTGAATGTTCTTGCTCATGGATTGGTTGTGGAGAAGTATGTTCATTTGCAGTTGATACTGAAGGTTTGTTCAGAAAATATTGACTAGTCTATTTTAAACTACAGTTCTAACTGGAAAACTGCAATTAGCTTAGTTTATAAACTAGTTAAACTATTTCCAATATAAGAAAATAAGGCTGACAATAAGTGGTAGTCTGGCGTCGGACTTTATCTTTTGAATTCCGTTTATCTCCATCTTGACGACCGTCACTATAGAACACGAGTCGTTGCCACAATTTCTTTATCATTCAAAATATTTAATGATTGATACAAACATCGGATTTAATACAAATATATATAGTCGATATTGCCATAGAATTGTTTAAACAGTTAATCGATAAAGCTACTCAAATGACTATGTATGTGGGTGCTAAGTAGTGCCCAAGCATACATGCGCATACAAGCTCCACAATGATTAAACTGCAAAATATTTGTGAAGTGCTACGATGGATCTAGTTTATTTCATAGTTATTATATACAAATCAGACTTTAATGTGGTTAAGTTCGAGAGATTTTCAATGTTTGTCATGTATATTTAATGACCCCTTTCATCTCCCCTCGATGTTACATAAATTACTTCTGCTTTGGCGGAGAAATATCAGGATTATTTCTTCATTCTTTCAGTGCTTCTAAATTGCTAACTTGTTCCAGAACTGTAGAATCAATGAGCTGTCTAGTAATTCTGTTTTACATGCAATTTGACTGTCTAAAGGTATACTCATAAAAGTAACTAATCACGTAAGCTATTAAATTCAATCCATATGAAAGGTTCTCCTTTTCTCTAACAGGCAGTACAAAAGATGGCAAATTAGTTACATATTAATCGGGACTGACTAGAAATAAATTTACATGATTTTTATCACCAAAAGATATTTACCCAGCTTTCTTTCTTTTTTGCAACGATGATACTACAAAATATGTGACACAAAGATAATTCTGATTATTCAGGTGATATGTTTACATGAAGTTCTATGAATTTGTTTGGGTTTTTTTCAGCAATTTTCTAATTTTGAGGGATTAAGTCGAACAAGATTTGAGGAATTTGGTTGCAGTTTATAAAAATGTACACCGTTATACGGACATAAATGGTTTGTCAAACATGATAGGTAAAAATCTAGCTTCACTCGTTCAGTTATTTTTTAAACTTCAGTTTAACCAGTTCATTTGACCCTTTAGTCGCTTGCACAGGAAAACTTTCCGCCAATCTAAGTCTATTCGTTTTGTAAACTTTGATAATCCGGTAAGAAAACGAAGATTGCCAGAAGTATACTATACATTAAAGCAATGCATTTAAAGTAATTTGATTTTATATTTACTGAAGGTTTACTAAACTTAAGCCATTTATATATGAAAAGTTAAGGTATACTAGATAAATTGGAGTCAATGTAATGAAGCTAACAGTTTGAACTTTACTACTAGATAAGAAATCGATAGTACTAGGGCAGGTTGAGTTTAGGTATAAACTGTTATAAAATACAAGGGAGGGTTGATCTTTCGTACGACTGAAGATGCCCATCTGCACAAATTCCTGCTTAATACCTGACGAAATTGCTGAATCCAATCCGAAGTATTACTTGGAGAATTCTTTTTAGTTAACTAATTGTACAGGCGGTATTCGAATAGCCTTTTATTCCACTTTTTTTTGACTGAAAGTACATTCGTATCCCGAATCAGTCTCAGTTTATTCATCAATAATTAGTTGTAATCTTATGGTAAGAAGAAGCCTTTTGTACATAATGTTATCAAATTGGTCTTATTTTGATAATACATATAGGTCGTGCCTATTCCTGGGGTATGGGTAGTAATCATCAACTTGGGCATGGAGATAGTGAAAATGACTGTTGGGAGCCAGAGTTGATGGTAGGAAAACAATTAGAAGATCGGTAAGACTTTTTAGTGTTTGTTTTTGATTATCAAACACAAGTTTGGATACCTGTACTGTCCATGTTATGATGTTTTTATGAGTGAACTTTCGGAGTTCTAATCTTTCTTCTGACTTTAAATAATTGTGATCGGTACGATTTGTTATGGATTTAGCTAGATAGCCTGAAGGAAAGCTTGGGGCGGTCATAAATTCATCAAGTCATTGATAACTGGACTGAGCCATGTTAGTAGGTGTAGACTGCCTGGTTGGGGTCTGCGACACAATCGTAACTGGTGGTTAGAGACCTTAAATGACATGGCTCAATATCGTTTGCAATGACACAGATGCATCCACTCTTTGTCTTTTCTCGAATTCTAATGTGAATTCTTCATGATGTTTTCTCTATTTTCAAATTTACTTCACTGGGTTATACTTCACGAATAATATCTTCGACCCCTAATGCTTTCCATTACTGCTAATACTGCTACTACCACTATGGGATTTGAGTCGACAATTCCGTCTCTCTGTACTAATGTGGTGTGGCAACTTGAATTGATGTACACACTACCAAGTTCTACGTTGCTTCTGACCGAGTGACGAAGTCGAAACACATCTTAAAACTGTATTTTCCAATTAATTACACCTAGTCTTCGGATATTTATTTGAAATACAAGCGAATTATTGACTGTGTTCCACACGTCCTTTCGTCTTCAAAATACTTTGATCACGCCGTGCATTTCGATCTAACACAGTTCTCTCCAGAAGTAACTTTTGGACAACACTATTCTGCATACAATTCAGCAGCCACCTTACAGGTAGTACTCATCACAATATTAACTTATTTGGTCACTTCCAAAATTTTCGAGTTTTCTTTTAACACTTCAATCAATATTTGACTCACAGCTCTTAGTTTAAATAAGTAAATTTGTTTTTCATGAAGATGTATATTTAGCTGTACAGTTATTTGTACTTACTTCCTTACTTATGCCTGTTACCCCCAATGAAGCATAGGCCGCCCACCAGTTTTCTCCAACCAACTCAGTCCTGGGTTTCCCTCTCCAGTTCTGTCCAATGTTTGTTCATTCCTCTCATATCTTTCTCTATTTCTCGGCGTAGTGTGTTCCTTGGCCTTCCTCTTTTCCTTTCACCTTGAGGATTCCATGTCAGGGCTTGTCTTGTGACGCAGTTGGGTGCTTTTAGCAGTGTATGTCTTATCCACTTCCAGCCCTTCGTGATTGTTTCCTCCGATGGAATCTGGTTTGTTCTCTCCCACTGTAAGTTGTTGCTGATAGTGTCTGGCCAACGAATCCGAAGTATTTTGCGTAGACAACTGTTCATAAATACTTGTATCTTCTGGATGATGGCTTTCGTAGTTCGCCAAGTTTCCGCTCCATACAGTAGAACTGTCTTGACATTTGTATTGAAAATCCTTATTTTGGTTTTGGTTGAAAGTTGTTTGGAGTTCCAAATATTTTTCAACTGTAGAAATGTAGCTCTTGCTTTGCCAATTCGCGCCCTCACATCTGCATCGGATCCACCTTGGTTGTCGATGATGCTGCCCAGATATGTAAAGGTGTTAACATTCTACTTGGCATCTCCATCAAGAGTGATTTGGTTGGTGCATGTTGTGTTGCATTAGAGAATTTTGCATTTCCCTTTATGTATGCTGAGACCTACTGCTGCAGAGGCTGCTGCTACACCGGTCATCTTTTCTTGCATCTGTTGTTGTGTGTTCGATAGAAGAGTCAGATCATCTGCGAAGTCCAGATCGTCCAGCTGCGGCCTAACTGAGCATTGAATACCGTGCTTCCCTCCGGACGTCGACGTCTTCATAATCCAGTCGATCACCAGGAGAAAGAGAAAGGGTGAGAGTAGCAACCTTGCTTGACACCGGTCTTCACCTCAAACGAGTTTGCCAGGTGACCTCCGTGCACGATTTTGCAGTCGAATCCATCATAACAATTCCGTATGATGTTGACTATCTTCTCAGGCACACCGTAGTGTCAGAGAAACCTCCACAGTGTTTTCCTATCCACGCTATCGAATGCTTTCTCATAGTAGATGAAGTTAATGTACAGTGGTGAGTTCCATTCTATTGATTGTTCCACCATGATCCGTAATGTAGCAATTTGGTCAGTACATGATCGATCCTTACGAAATCCGGCCTGTTGATCTCGAAGTTGGGCGTCTACGAAGTCCTTCATTCTGTTTAACAATACTCTGTTGAAGACTTTGCCTGGTATTGAAAGAAGGGTGATGCCTCTGTAGTTCTCACACTTGCTGAGATCGCCTTTGTTTGGTATTTTGATGAGGTATCCTTCTTTCCAATCTGATGGTACTTGTTCCTCATCCCAAATCTTCTTGAAGAGGATGTGAAATATTTTTGCAGTTGCTTCTACATCTGCTTTCATTGCCTCTGCTGGAATGTTGTCTGGTCCCGCTGCTTTGCCGCTCTTGAATTGTCTGATGGCCATACTGATCTCTTCAATTATAGGTGCGCCAACATCGATTGGGAGGTCCGTAGATGCTGCTTCGATGTTGAGTGTGTTCAGTGGAGTTGGTCGATTCAAGAGTTCCTTAAAGTGCTCTACCCACCTATTTCGCTGTTGTTCAGTGTTGCTGATTACTTTGCCTTCCTTACTTTTCACTGGTCTTTCTGGTTTACGATAGTTCCCGGAGAGCTTCTTTGTTGTTTAGTACAATTGTCTCAAGTTTCCGTCTCATGCAGCTTCTACCGCCGTCATTGCTAGATCTTCCACATAATTTTGTTTGTCAGCTCTGATGCTCTTCTTCACTTCCCTGTTTGTTTCCGTGTATTCAGCTTGTGCCGTAATTTTCTCTGCTCTTGTTCGGCTGACATTCACTGCTGCCTTCTTGTTCCTCCTTTCTTCAATTTTTTCAAGAGTACCAACAGAGATCCATTCCTTGTGATGGTACTTCTTGTGATCCAGAACTTCGTGACATGTTGAAGTGATTGCCTCCTTAATCCCTTTCCAACTGTTCTCCAATGTTGCGTCCTCTCCATTGAATAGATCCTGAAAGGCCGTATTAAACTTCTGTGATGTTGTCTGCCCCGTTGTCCAGTGCTTCTTTAGTTTCAGTTTCATTTTGGCTATATCAGCTCCTCTCCTGGTTCTCACATCCTCCATAGTCCTTCTGAACGTTTTGTTGATACAGATATGATCAATTTGGTTTTGAGTAGTGTGGTCCGGTGAAATCCATGTGACTTTGTGAATGCGTTTGTGCGGGAATATTGTGCCACCGATGACCAGTTTGTTGAAGGCACATAGGTTTGCAAATCTCTCACCGTTTTCGTTTCTTTCTCCCAGTCCATGTTGTCCCATGATGTCTTCATATCCAGTGTTGTCCATTCCAACCTTGGCATTCAGGTCTCCCATAAGAATCGTCAAATCCTTTGGTGAACATTCCTCGACGATTGACTGCAGCCTTTCGTAGAATTGATCTTTAACGTCGTCATTGTAGTCATTGGTAGGTGCATAACATTGGATGACGTTCATTGTCATGTCCTCTTTCTTTGTTTTGAAGGATGCTTTGACGATCCTCGGTCCATGAGATTCCCATCCTATCAGTGCCTTTTGTGCATGTTTGGACAGCGTCAATGCAACTCCTCGTGTAGGTGAAGCATTTTCCTCTTCATGACCAGAGTATAACAGCAGTTCCCCTGAATCTAGTCTCAGTTGTCCTACCTGTGTCCAATGCGTTTCACTGATGCCGAGCACCTCCTGGTTGTATCTTTTCATTTGTGCCGCAACTTGAAATAGTCTTCCAGTCTCCCACAGTGTACGAACGTTCCATTTACCTAAAAGATGGTTGCACTGGTTGTGAGAAGAGGCTTCGGCCCTGTGACTTCCGAGGAAAATCGGCTTTCATCATGAGACGTCATAATTCTTCATTCAACTCCCAGGGCAGAGTTAAAATGGTTTGATTTATTTTTTCTGGCTAGCGTTTTTTTGGCAAGTTAGTTTATAGTTGGGTTGGGGGCGCCAACCCCATGTCCAACCCCTCCTTTATCCGTGCTTGGGACCGGCATTAGCCTCGAAGGTCCTACTGGCGGAGTAACAATTATTTGTACAGTGGGTAAATCGAAAAAAATCCTACTTGGTTCTTTGCTTTTGTCAAACGTTCATTCTTTACACGTCGATTTGAATAAGTTTAGTTTCATATCAATTTTAAACTATCAGATTTCTGTCCTAAAGTTATTGGAATTAATTTTATCTTTCTTTTACTGTCTATGACTTGGTGTTACCCTCACTATCGATTAACGGTGTATACCGCGTCTCTGAAACGCACATAAAGAATACGAGTAGAATCGCTTATTGGATCTCTCCTTGTCAAGATTTATATTTCGTGTATCTGGAAGCCCTACTGCTGAGCCCTGTGGCCTCGCTGATGTAGTTGTTGCACTGATTTCATACACAAACAATACTTCGAAGGTATCCATGATCAAATGGGCTGCTAATTTTTTTCATGATTAAGGTTTAGTACTAGTGTAGCAAATTGGGATTTTAAAAACTATCAGTCCTCTTTGTTATGCTCCCTCATTTTTTTGTAAACTTATAATTTATTGAATTTACCCAACTAAGCGCTAGTTTAAAATGGGTTATTTTGTTACATTTCTTTCAGCCGCGTCTTAATGATTGATGCTGGTGGCCAACATACTGTAGTGCTAGCTTGCTCTGCTACTCAGCCGAATGTGATTAACACAGATACAGATATTGTGATGCGTGATTCTAATCAGCTTTTAAACGGCACGAACAAATCTCCCGCAGCCAATAAACAAGATGAAGAAATGTCAGAAGTGACGTCTAATCCACTTTCTAATAATAATAATCTAGAACACGAAAAAAGTGAAGAATTATCCAAAAAATCTTGTTCAGCTGATACTTCGGTAGAGCGTATTTTGATTCCGCCAATTGGACCTGGTGCCCCACAAAGCAAGCGGAACCGACGTGCAAGTCCTTCTTCTGTAGCTGGGAGTACCGGGACAACGCTGCTTACTCCTGTTGGGTTTAGTTGTGAAAGTACAACAGGAAGTACAGCAGGTGCCACAATCAATAGTAGCGTCCATAGTTCTGCTGTTTCAGATACTTGCTCCGTTGGATCATGTGCATCGACAAGCAGTACAAGTAGTCAGTTAAATAGTGCAAAAAGTACTGATGGTGGTGGAAGTAGCCGATGTAGTTCCTTTGATAATTACAGTGTACAGAGTAGTTTATTGTTGCTCCCATCCACAGAAGACAAATTCTGTAAGGGCACATAATCCCTTGTTCTTATTTTTAGTATTCGAAAAAATCTACTTGCTGTTATTTTCCCTAATCCTTCTTAAGGTTAATTATAATACTTGGTATCATTGATATTTAACCGTTTTTTCAGCCTGCTCAAATTCGTTTCATCCTTAACGTTGTGGCTACGTACATTCATCTTCTCTTACTCCATTTTCGTCAAGAATTTTCATGTCGAATTTATTGTGTGATGTTTTATTTTCTATTTATAATAATAATCACACTTTGAAGGAAATATTTGCGAACAACTTTAACTTTAGAAAATTTTATCTGACTGACTGACTAACAATACACTATGTTTAAATAAATTTTGATTTTGTACACTGCATCCGTTTGTATAATCTAACATTTGTTAAACATTTTGAAAACAGGTGAAACTTTAAATAACTTGATGTATACTTTCAAATGTTAATGTAACGTTTTTTGTTAGTGTGATTTCTCGTATGTTTGTTTATGTGATTATGTTATTATAATTTGTATTCATTTAAAAGTTATCAGTTTTATGGGTTGAATATAAAAATTTTTAGTGGGTTTCTTAGGCACTGTTATTCACATAAAGTAGGTCATGTTCGTAATCATGCAATGTTCATGTCGTATCTCTCCAGTAGAGCATTCATGATGTGTCATTCCTTCAGGATCTATCGCATTGTTCAACCAAGCGATGCTTAGCTTTCATGCATTCTTAACGTTCATAAAATTTTCAGTTAAAGTCAGATCCTTGGTTTAATAATTCTTGGGTAAAAGTTTTATAGTTCAGTTGGTTATTCTAAACTAGGTCACTAAGAACTGTATTCTCCAACATCTCGATCTCATTATGCAGGTATCCCCACATACTTCATTTTTCTCCTGTTATAATGAATCTTTCTTAATAAGTAGTTTTGTGTTGTCTCGAATATATACTGACATTTTCTCGTGGACTGGTCAAATTTGTAGAGATGCTTATTGTGAGTACATGGGATCATCTTACTAACAAATAACGAGAGACTTTGTGCAGGAAAAATCATTTCATTGTCTTTGCATACTGTTAACTAAACTACAACATACAGGTCACTAGTTGTATGTCTAGTTCCACTCCCGTCTGTACAATAACCTGTTCCAGCGAATTCATTTTATCTACTCCATCCATCGAAGTAAACTGACAAACAGTTGTGCTTATACAAAGTAAAACCAGCAAGTTTGATTGATTAAAAAAATTAGACCATCTTTTGGTCTCATACAAAGAAATATAAATGTAGTCCCAGTATTCTAGAGTTGTAATCTTTAGAGTTTATTATGCAATGAGTAATGTTGGTGAGTATTAGTACTCAGTGTTTTTTTGAATTTTGATCAAGTGCAAACTAAATAGGGGATGTCAATGAGATATCAAACCGTTGTAAATCACAAAGTTTGCTGATAAACTTGTTAGGATATTCATCTAATATCCTTAAGATAACTTTTTGTAAATGATTCTGTTGGTCGATTACTATTAGTCGTCCTAACTGTGAATTTCATAGGCTTCAACGTTGTTGCCTGTTCGACCTAACTGTATAAATATGCATTATCTGTAACGTTTTATGACGCGGACTCGAATCCTTAGTCCGGGATCCTGTTTCTCTTCTGGAATTGGACCTCGTACTTTCTGAATGGTTGTAGGATGCATGTTCTACTTCATATCAAATCTCGCAGTCAGTGGTGACACGTTCGGATTAGAGTAGCCTGTCGCGTCGCCAGATCATCGATCCTCTCGTTTACTGACTAAGGTAAACTAATAGTTCAAGCATACTAATTAACGTGTTTACGTGCATACGTAACAAAACCATCCCTAACAGTAAGGACTCAGGAAGATAGGAACACCGTTTTCTATTCGTCGTCTCTGCCTAAGCTCCCAATGACTGCAGTCTAGACGAGGTGAAAGATGGGTTTCACAGAAAGCTTTCTAACCTCCAGAAAGCTAGGCGCTCTGATACCGTGATAGTGGCTGGTGACTTCTATGCTCAGATAGGTAGACTCAAAGATCAGCAAAGAAACTCAGGTGGATATTAAGGTGTCGTGGCACAAACTTTAACCATAAGAAAATATATTTTGACATGGTTACTCACAAAGTCCTCCTAACGCTGGACACAATTGAATCACATCGCTCCGAACCACCGATCCAGCGTCAGTCAGTCGAAAATTAGAACTTCCTACATACATAGGTCAGTGCATGTTGCCATACCGAATCAGCACACAGACACAATCGTCACTCCAAATCTCATAGTGGTATAGGTAGTAGAAATGTTAGCGAAAATGGAGAAGATTAGGATTCAAAAATATTTTTCAAGAAGTATAATTCAGTGGGAAAAATTTAGAGAAAGATAGAGGTGATGAGGAATTCAGACGATAATCACTCAGTAAAACACAGTGTGGATGCACCTGCTCCATTGCACACGATTTTTAGCCACGTCATACAAATTCTCTAACCATCGATTAGCATCGCCTCACGGACCCCAACCAGCTAGACTACACCTACCAACATGACTCAGTTTACCTGTCATTGATATCAAGGATTTGTGCCATATTGTGGTCTGACCACCCCTAGCTTTCTTACAGCCTAACCCCACACCACAAAACATTGCTAACAATACCGTCCATCCTAACTGGCCATGTTTCACAACATGTTTCCACATGTTCGCATTGTTGATCATGGTAGCCAGAAGACTCTGCATTTTGTCATTGTCTTCACTAGATAGAACTATATCGTCGGCATATTCTAAGTCAATAAGTGAATCTCCTGGTAAAAGTTCAACTCCTGAAAACTCACATGATGAAAGTGTCGTTGCTCAAAGCATGTCGATGACAAAGTTGAGTAGGAATGGAGAAAGTCGACAGCCCTAACAGACACCACTCGAGGTAGTCAACTAGCATGACTGTTCGCCATAAACTCTCACTCGACTAGTAGTGTTCGAGTAGAGAGTTTGTATGAAGTTATCATACTTCTTTGGTACACCCTTGAATGACAGACACTGTCACAGAACCTCACGGTCGACAGAGCTGAGTGCCACCTTAAGGTCGAGAAATGCGCTATCATGTTACGCCTGAACGCGTGTCTATGTCCTAGGACCTGAAGAAGTGTGAATATTTGGTCTATACAACCACGTCCAGCTGGAAAATCAGCCTGGTTTTCTCAAATCTGCTTCTCGAGACCTGTAGTTAGGTGTCGAAATATTATTGAAGCTAATATTTTGGACACTATACTAGTTAGGCTGATTCCTGTGTGATTTGTCACAGGAGGACTTTTGTCCTTTCTTACAGACCGGGACAATCAGTGATTGAGACCAGTCAGATGGGATTACGTCTAGTTCCCTGATTCTACACAAGATCTCAGTCTGACTGCTAAAATTGGATCACCATCTTTAAAAATCTAGTGTTTTAACCTATCACGACCTGCTGCTCTACCTCGTTTCAGGTTTCCCTTAGCCTTTTCAACTTCATTAAGAGTTGGAGGACTTACACCAACTTGACACTCAGGTTTACTGGAGATCGTGGGTAACCAAAATATAGCTGAAGGTCACTTGAAATGATCCATTGTGTTGCGCTCATCAAACCAATCTTCGGGATTGAGGATGAATAACGAACCCATCTTCTTCTGAGATAGTTTCACTAACTTGGATTCCCAGTCTCGGTCTTCTTGATAAACTGTTAACCATTGCCGCTGCCTTTTATATCTCTCTTGCTTCGTAACCGATGTTAAGACTTTGAATGACATGACTTAAAATCGTACGTAATGACATACATACATCCACTTTTTTCTCTACTCTCAGCTTATATTATTCTAAATTTCTCATGAACTTTTTTCTCTTCAAATTTAATTTGCTAGATAATACTTGTCTAATCAAAGCTTCAATCCTTAATCTTTTCATTACCACTAATACTTCTACTGACTCTAACACCATAGGATTTGAGTCTGAAATCCTAACTCTCTGTACTAATGGCAACTTGAAATGATGTAAGTACGTTCCTGATGACTGACTGGCTGACATATACCAGTCGAATCAGATTTACGTAAATCAGAACATCGAGACAATTAGAGTAAGTGTAACTAGTTATATCAACAGTACAAAGACATTGTAAAAATAATGGTAGAAAACGGTGTTTACGAGATAAAACAACCACGATGCACTATTAGGACAGGTTTTGAGACTTTGCGAACAGACTTTAACTGACTTATACTTTCTAAAACATCTACATGCTTCTGAATTGTTCACCGAATTTCTGACTCTACATCATTACCTAGTCATAGTTTCATCTAACTCTGTAAATTTAGACCAAGTTAATAGGCACCTGAAAATGCAACGTATCTAAATTACTTTAATTAAAGTTTACAACTTCAGTCTACGTCTAACAACAGTATCCCCCGCTCAATAGTTTAGTCGTCTCGAAATATTTGGAACAGAAATGAACTTTACGGTATAACAAAACTACGACATGAAAGTTTTGTCAGTAAAATGGAATTAATTTGATGCTCTTGAGAAATTCAGGAAGAAATTTTCACGATCAGATACAAGGTAGAGTTAGGAGGCTACTTGACATCGATTTGTATCTGTTAACTGTTTCCACATCCCAATAACGGCAAAAACAGGATTAACGAATGCAGTAAAAAAAACTATCACCTATTCACAAACCAAGTATGAGTTAGAGTGAGTGTGTTAATGCATAGTTTGATTTTAAGACCAGGTACTTGAAGTCAGGTGGCTCGATAGATAAAGAATGTGACAATGACAACAATAAATTTCAAACATGATGGCCAGTACGATAAGAAAACGTGCTATGGGGCATGAAAAAAAGTTGAGAAGGAGCACGAAGAAATGAGTTATAACTCGCGGAACAGAACTGGATAGGGTGCACAATTTATAGGGACATTACAATAAACAATTCTCGCTGTTTACTATAAGTGAACTGGATCGAAATGGTTGTAACAAAGTAAGATATGTCTAGAGAGCATCATAAATGTACTGTGTAAATCATGACAGACCTTAAACAAACCAACAGTACATTACATGAACTCTTTTATAGTTATCATATTTTGTGCGACTGTGTAGGTCACTTTGAAAAAAACCGAGAAAAACCAAACTAAACATTACCCAGGATCATCAAATGAACTGAAAATAAGTAAATAATGTATAAACTAACGAATGCAATGAAAAAACATTCACATATAAACTAGTCAACATGATGACAGAAACCACTCGAGGTAGTCAACTCGCATGACAGTTCGCCATAAACTCTCACTCGACTAGTAGTGTTCAAGTAGAGAGTTTGTATGAAGTTATCATACTTCCCTGGTACACCCTTGAATGACAGACACTGTCACAGAACCTCACGGTCGACAGAGTTGAGTGCCACCTCAAGGTCGAGAAATGCACTATCATGTTACGCCTGAACGTGTGTCTATGTTCTAGGACCTGTGGAATTGTGGATTTTTGTTTTATGCACTTTCTTTATTGAGGCAACTGGAGCCCATTTGCTTAAAGTTTCTAAATATTTTTCACGGATCATTAGGTCTATGAATCTATGAACCTGTGTTACGTCTTTATTTAGCTACTCCAAGTTTTTTTCCATTCTAATTGAACATCAGACGTATTTTCAGCTTGACAGTAATCGGTTAAACGTAATAAATAAGTCAGTTCATTTGACGAGTACTTACTACTTCATCAACTGATTGGCTAACTTTACAACACTAACTTGATGGAGAAGCTTTGGAAGATGTTGGTCATCATGTTGGATCTGATGCAGATGGGAAGGCGCGGATCGGTAAAGCCAGGGTAGCATTTCTACAATTGAAGGACATCTGGAACTCGAGACAGCCATCAACCAACACCAAAGTCAGAATTTTCAATACAAATATCAAGACAGTTCTGCTCTACAGAGAGGGAACTTGGAGGAACACGAAGGCCATCATCAAGGAAGATACAAGTATTTATTAACAGTTGTCTACGCTATATACTTCTGATCGGTTGGCCAGACGCCATCAGCAACAACCCACTACAGGAGAGAACAAACTAGATTGCAGCAGAGGAAGAAGCGCTGGATGTGAATTCGATACATAATGAGTAACGCACCAAACTACTTTACAAGACAAGCCCTCACTTTGAATCCTCTGGGTCAAAGGAAAGGTGGAAGATCAAATAACACATTACGCCGAGAAATGGACAGGGACATTAGAAGTATGAATAAAAATTGGACTCAACTGAAAAGCGAGTTCAGGACAGGTTAGGTTGGAGAATACTGGTCGGCAGCCTACGCTCCATTGGTGGTGACAGGCGAAAGTAAGTAAGTAGCCATGATCCACATCTATAATGTAGAATATAACAAACTGATGAGAAGTAATCTCATCGTATAGACGGCAGGTGGATAGCACTAAAGTGATGCAAGCTTGAAAATACCGTCATTCAACCATCAACCAAGCCGAGTTGACGCGAACAAGATAATGAAGCTGTTGACGCACTTGACCGGCGTTGAAATCGTCTGTCTTGAAGCAACTTGAGTTTAGAGAGAGAGTAGCATTTGAAATATGCCAGCATCACTGGTTAAGGTGATCAAAAGACTGTAGTTTTCCAGTAAGTAGGAGCAACAATTGATTACTATGCAACAAATTATGCAGTTGGTATTTTTGTTTATCCATAGCTAGTTAATTTTAGAACAAAATATACAAGAGAACAACTGCACAAATATTTACCCAAAAAATATAAATATATTTTAGGCATTCATGTTTCACCTAATGCAGGTATGTCTAAATTCTCAATGTCATTTCGTAATGCATCGATGAAATGATTTATTTCCATTACTCTTGCTCTGTTTCGATTATATTTTTCATCGGAATATATGGAAGCAATTATTTCCTTAATCCATTTTTTAGCTTTTTCATTAATTCCATCAGCGAACTCATCAATTTTAAGTAAATGCGCATCGTTACTGGCGCTTAGTGCATTCGTGACACTTTCTTTATCAATAAAAATCTGAAATAATTTTTAAAAACAAGTGCGAAAAATTTAAGTTTCATTCAATCTGTAATAAATGGCAATAAAATAGTGAAGATAGGATGAGAAACAGGCACATTTGTAGAAGAATATCTCTTAATCTAGCTTGTTAAAACAAATTAAAATTTTTATGATTTCTAATTGGGGCTTTTTTAACAGCTACACTTGGATGAACTCGGTTAGTTACAATGGCCTCAATCATGATTGATTCGTTTTTGTCGAAATAATAACTCCGGAAGTTTAAATCCACAGGAAACAGTAACCTTGTCGTACCGTATCTGGGTACCTACCAACTTGGAAGCTAAAGAATCCAGTCCTACATTGTCTCAATAAACTTTTATTGGATTACTTTTAATACGTTAATTTAATGTTTGCGAATTCAAAGTTCCTTTTTTTTTTAATTTTCTGTACCCTTCTCACAACTACTGAAACTTACCAACTTATTGCATACAGTTTACAAAGAATTCTCGAATTAATCATTAGATAGTTCTCGGGTTTCCGATTTAGTTAACTTTATATATAACTGGTGCTTTCATATTTATAAGATAACTTAATAGTTTTATTTCTATGAGAAAAATAACAGTTAAATGTTGACTCTGACGAGACTCATTTCAGTTATCACCATTTCGAATTAAATTATCAAATTACTTTCGTTCATTTATAGACTTTGTTCATTAACATCCATGACAGTGTCGTCACTGAAACTTCTAAGAAACCTTATATACCTCAGATACTCATATCTACGTGATCAAGTAAAAAAAATCAAAGATTTTGCATGTAAGTATTCAGGCAGCTACTGTCGCATAAATTATCGAATAATAGTGAACATCTTACTGTTTAATCTGCAAAAATATAATCGAATTCTCATTAAGAAATCGACTCGTAAATTGCATATCCACTAAAAAATATCAGTATTTAAAAGCCTATTGATTTTCTGTAATTTGTTTCCTGTTACAACAAACTAGAAAGGAATGAAATCAAAAAGAATTGTTGGATGCAAACAACTAATCTTAATGTTTATAATCGAACTTACAGCGATGAGAGCATCTGATGGTTCACTTTGGAAGTCATTCCGCATAAATCGTTCTAAAACACTTGGGCATATGTCTGTCAACCTTTCGTGAAATTGAGTCTGTAATTCACGACATTCTGTAAAATGTTCCTGAAAAATAATTAACCTGAAATAGAGTCCTATGAAGAGAAAAAACCAGTAGCAGTCATAATGACTAATCATTTAGCAAAGCAAAACAATTATGCTATCAGCCAAAGTTGGTTTTTGGTTCGTATTGATTTTAACTGAGGGACCCTAGAGGACTGACTGGATAGCTCTTTAGTTTGGGACCTCAGACAACGCATATCCTTATCCTCTTCAGGATCGATTCTCATGATCTTTGTAGTGAGTGCGTTGTCTTCAGAAGACCAAATCAGTTTAGTGGTTTACATTTTCAATTTTAATCGATTTGTGATACATAGATGTTCATCATTCAGTAGACAACCGTTTTACTCACCCTACGACATGAATACTCTAAGAAGACCAGCAGTCGTTATTTATTTGTGAAACCATTGGCTTTCAATCTTAAATAAATAAAGCCTAATAATCTTCTTGAACCATAGTGGATTCCTAAAAGCCTCTCTTAACAATTAGGATCAGTTAGTGATGCAAGCGGAAATTCCCTTATTGATTATAAACGTCTTAATCCTTAATTATCTTTTGTTCCCTATCTTCTATTATTTCCTGCATTTTCATTAATTCTATCACTAACAGTATTAATATTTTTTTATGTATCCCACTATTCACATTTTTAATTTCTCTAAACTAATTCGAATAAATGCTGTAATAGTTTTAACTGGTATGTACACGCTTAAGATTCAACATTTTCCCTGTATAATTATTACATCTCATTAAAGCGTAAATGAAAGTAACTAAGCATAGGAATAAGTAAAAAGGCTGTCAGATTATTCTTGCCATGTATGAGTTATTCAATTTTGTCATTGGATTTATTTGGTTTTTTGATCTTCAGGAAATATCTTAATGGGTTGGTGTATAATTCTGTTCTTTGATAGTTGGAAACAGGCATAGAAATAAGTCTTGATTACAATTCATCATGACACTGTTTATATGAACTTGAGGGAAATGTTATTGCTGTAGAAATTTGAAATCAGGTGATTCATTGCCACAGCTAAAAGATAGCATCACTGTACAATTTAGGAAGTCATTAGGAATTGGTTTCATCATGTGTGTTAGTTAATCGCTCGATTCATTAGACTACATGTTAAGTTAGTGCTACTGAAAGTCTCTGTGAGACAAAAGCATGTCTAAAAATCAAATAATTTGATTATATTTTGTTTGCTTCTGATAAAAATCATTATACAAAGAAACTGAATTAAACTATAAAGTCAGCACTGACTTTATAAGGATATTTATTAGGTGCTTACCTCAACATTTTCAATAAATGTATTAATCATCTCATTTAAGTTTAGTTCGAATTCATTAATTAATTCTTCAATTTGTTCAACTAAGACTGATTCATTGCGCATTAATTCATTCCATAATTGTTGTACATTTTCATTGTAAACTAAAATATCATCTTCGACTTTAATCACATCAGTATTCTGGAGGAGTTCCTTAAATATCTGGTTTAAAAAAAAACAACATTAAAACAACTAAATAAAGGAGAAGGAAAGATAAACACACGTATTTTAAACTTTAACTTTTGAATGTGGGAATTTTGCTTTTCAATGGTGTTTTTTTTTTCTGTATTTATTAAAAACCCTTTCAATTTCAATTCATCAGAAACTATATTTTTAAATTATTACTTACAAGGAAATAAACTGCACGCATATTTTGTTTGTCAAAAATTTAAACAATTTGCTTCAATATCGAAATTCCAAAGGTGTGGTTATAGAAAAAACATCACTTATGTAAGTAATCAATCAAGTTGATAAGCAGTTAATCTTTATATTTTTAATGCCCTGAATGAATCAAATAACATGATTAAGTGAAACAGTTATTCTCTACTCTTAATTTGTCATAAAATTGTCCAGTTGATATCAATATTCATGATATAAACTGTTATGTACTAGAAGAAATCTTCATCTACCCTAAATTGGATAAATAACGACTAAAACTTATTAACACATAGTTGGATCTCAGAATGTAGTGATTTTTAGCTTCTAATGCGGCCATGCTCTAAAATCCACCTTTTCTGGTTAGGTTAAAAACATAATAACTTGATAGTTTCACTGCCGCACAAAAATGTCTAAACCAAATTTCAGACCACATACTCGCTAATTTCTGCATTACTGTACATAATGCTGCTGTATAGCATTGCATTAGTTATATTCTATGTATATATATTTCGATTTTCTAATCAGTCAGTCAGTCAGTCAGTCAGATGCAACGTAGAACTTCGTACGTAAGTACATCAGTTCATGTCGCCAAACCACATCAACACAGAGATATAATTGTCAATTCAAATCCAATAGTAGAAGAGGTAGTAAAGGTATTAGAAGTAATCGGAGAGGTTAGGATTAGAAGATATTATTCATGAAATATGATTAAATGAGATAAGTTTAGAAAGTCAAAACTAGAGGGGTTGAAGAATCCAGAAGGTTAGGATTTGAGAGAACACAAAGAATAAATGCATCGGCGCCATTGCGAACGATTTTGAGCCATGTCATTCAAGGTCTCTAGCCATCGATTATTATCAGCTCGCGGACCCCAACCAGGTAGTCGACAATTACCGACATGGCTAAGTCCACTAGTCAATGACTTCATGGATTTCTGCCATGTTTTGGTCTGGCCGCCCCTAACTTTCTTCCAACCTATTCCTACACTACAAAACAAAGCTCGACGAGGGAGTCGCTGGTTAGGCATACGCAACACGTGTCCCAACCACCTCAACTGATGAAGTTTCAACACTTCATCGATTGGTCTGCCATTCTTACCTAGCACCCGATTCCTAATAACAGCGTTGCTCACTCGGTTGTCCCACGATATACGAGCAATGCTTCGAAGACATCTATGATCGAAAACCAATAACCGACGAGTATCTTCTACTCTCATTGGCCATGTTTCACAGCCATAAAGTAAGACGGAGCGAACCACTGCGCAGTACACTCGTCCTTTAGTCAGCAGACGGATATCTCGCCTACGCCATAAGTGACGCAGGTTGGCAAAAGCCAATCGAACCTTCTGTATCCGTGCCGAGATTTCGTCAGTCACCAGGCCATCAGCACTGATGAGACTCCCGAGATAAGTGAAGCGGTCTACACGTTCGACTACTTCCCTCCCTATCACCAGTTCAGGTGCCGTTGCAACCCAATCTTGAAGCAACATTTTGCATTTCGAGGGGGAAAACCGTATCCCGAACATGCTTGCATTGTTGCTTAGGGTAGTCAGAAGACTCTGCATTTTGTCAGCGTCTTCACCAAGTAGGACTATGTCATCGGCATATTCTAAGTCAATAAGCGAGCCACCTGGTAAAAGGTCTACTCCAGAAAATTCAGACGAGGATAAGGTTATTTCTAGGAGCATGTCTATGATAAAATTAAACAAGAATGGAGAGAGTAGTCAGCACTGACGGACACCACTTGATGTAGAGAATCCCGATGACAGTTCGCCATAAGCTCTCACTCGACCAGTGGTGTTTGAGTAGAGAGCTTGTATGAGGTTAATGTACTTATTTGGTACACCTTTCAATGACAGACACTGCCACAGAACCTCACGATCCACTGAGTCAAATGCCGCCTTAAGGTCCAGGAAAACAACTATTGTAGGACGCCTAAATGTGTGTCTGTGTTCCAAGACCTGTCGTAGTGTGAAAATGTGGTCTATACAACCACGTCCAGGTCGAAAACCAGACTGGTTTTCTCGAGTCTGCTCTTCACGAGCTTTCGTTAAGCGTCGAAGTATTATTGAGGCCAATATTTTAGATACTATATTAGTTAGACTTATTCCCCTGTGATTGTCACAAGAAGACTTCTGTCCTTTCTTATAGATTGGGACAATCAGTGATTGAGACCAGTCGGATGGGATTACGTCCAGTTCCCAGATTCTACCTAAGATATCAGTCAACCTAGCTGCTAAAACTGGACCACCATCCTTAAATATCTCAGGGGTCAGTCTATCAGGACCTGCAGCTCGTCCTCGCTTCAGATTTCCTAAAGCTTTTTCAACTTCATTAAGACTAGGGGGACTTACGTCGATTTGCCATTCAGGATGACTGGAGATCGTGGGTAACCGAAGAGTGGCTCGAGGCCAGTTGAACTGATCCCTAAAGTGTTCTGCCCATCGATCCAGTCTCCTGGATTGAGAATAAATAATAGTCCCGTCATTTTCTGAGATAGTCTCGCTTACACTATGATTCCTAATACCAGTTTGCTTGATAAGTCGGAAAAGTTGTCTACTGTTGCCTATCGCCGCTGCCTTTTCCATCGCTTTGGCTTTTGCCACCCACCACTTTTCGCGATCGTTACGTAGGCTTTTTATAAGTCTGCGCCTAAGTTGACTTCGTTCTTCATCATGTTCAGAGCCAGGTTGGATGAGTTTTCGAACATCCATCAGATCGGTGGATGCTACTGAGTTCCACGGCTTCATTCTTGCTTTATGGTCAACCTTACTAGCAGATATCACTGCTGTTTCCACAGCCTTTTTGATATCATTCCATCCTGCTTCCGGATGGGAATCGCTTAATTGGTCGCTTAACTGTCTTTCTAGTTGTTCCTGAAATATATTTTTCGCCTTATTATCATTAAGTAAAACCCTAAGAGGCTTCCTTACGGTGTCTTTCCTACGCCCAGTAAGCTTCAAACAAATACGTGCTCGCACTAGGGCATGATCTGAATCTAGACATGTGCTCCAGAACGAGCGACAGTCCTCTATCGAACCCCTCCATCGGTGGCTGATGGCAATGTGATCTAGTTGAGTCCAACGTTGAGACGACTTTGGAGGTCGCCAGGTCAACAGATGCTTTTCCTTATGCCTAAAGTTAGTGTTTGCTAAGAATAGGCGGTTGTCTGAGCATATTTGCAACAGACGGTCACCATTGTCTGTTCTCTGAGCCGCGACACCATAACATCCACCTAGGTGTCTCTCCTGCTCACTTAGTCTACCTACTTGAGCATTAAAGTCACCAGCCATTGTTACTATATCAGAGCGCCTAGCTTTTTGGAGGAGGTCCGAAAGCTTTCTGTAAAACTCATCCTTAACCTCGTCTGAACTGCATTCAGTGGGGGCATAGGCAGATACGACGAAGAGGCAACGGCGATTGTCCCTATCTTTCCGAGTCCTTACTGTCCCGTTTAGTCGGACAGCGCACAAACGACTATCTACAGGGATCCAGTCAAGGAGAGATAATTCTGCCCTACGACTCAATGCTATGCCTACGCCAGCAAGACCCCTGGAAGCAGCATCAGGGCTACCGGATACACGAAAAGTAAATCTAGCTGCTTCTTTATTTTGACATGGTGTGGTCAAGTGTATGACGTGACTCGGATCCTGTATGCGCGTTTCCGAGACGCAGCATACATCGATGGCACGAGATTCTAAAGTCCTAGCTAAGGAAGCCTGTTGCCTTATTTGACACAATGTCCGTACATTAAATGCTCCAACATGTAGTCTAGAGCGAGGTTTAAGGAGACCAGGAACGACGTTTCGCGAACTCGTATCGTCTGCATTAGCTGTACACTGTGATGAATGAATGTGAGAAGAGTTAGTCGTGGAGATAAGAGAGGTACTAGGGGGTGTAGGAAGGATTTGATTTTGACCAATTCGGTCTCTGGTGCTGTTATGGGTATGAGGGCGGTTGTCACTTCCCGGCTGCCCACACCGTGGAAGGTTGTTTCTTGAGGAACCTGAAAAGGAAGATAGATTAGTGTTGGTGCGTGACCGCAGAGTCCAAGGGACAACTGCTTGAGGCCAGTCACGCATGGCCTTTTTATCAAATGTTTTTTGAGGATTAGCTCCGCTCTTAAAGGCCCTTAGTGGGCACCCTTACCCAAGGAGACGGAAATCCGTGAGTTAGGGGAGGTGTGACATTTTTAGGGCCGACCTTTTCTAACCCTTCCTTCCTTGTGAGAAGGCAGCATCGCTGCAGATGCTGGTTGTCCGAGGGAAACACCTTACTGCTGTCACACCCCTCTGCAGTCAGCAGTACGACTTCGCCCTCAGACCTTGGGTAGCTGCTTTTAGTCTCATCGTTCTCCAATCGACCTGCCTGGCATGGTAGAACCTGCAGGAACATATGTTCCAGCCAGTATAGCTCGGTTGGGTCATCACGATAGGCAAGCCCGACCACCACGTCAAGGTAGCAGCTACGGTCGGGATTTTCTAATCATACAGAAGGAAAGCATACTTAGAATAGTTTACGAATAGATTATCATGAACATTGGTAATTATAAAAATCTTTTCATAGGTTCGTCACTCAAATAATTTTAACTGCATAAAGAAAAAAAATGTCTGTGATATCTATTGGCTAATGCATGTCTATCAGTAGATCCAGTTTAAATAAACTGGGACTAAATAACAATTCTTCATGCATTGTCGTCATGGTTTGTATTTTCCCTTTGTTGATTTTAAGGTTTTAGTGTTTAATATGGATACTGAGATTTTGTTGTTAGACTGATTTAGTTCGATCACATTTTATTATTCAGGTTGGCAGTATGCTTCATGTTCTGATTACATATTATCATGATTATAGGTGTCTATAATGAATAAAAATTCATTTAGTTGTAGTGCATGTGGCCATGATAGTTTAGGGAAACTTTCCAATAGTAAGCCTCTTTATGATGTATAAAATCATTAAACTGAAATGCAAGCTAAAAATTCATCAGCATAGTCGCATTTAATTGCGAAATCCCAAGTTTTCATTTTTGTGTCTAACAAAATATTACTGAATACTGTTTGGGCTATAATTTTACTGTAATACAATTCTGAGATGAACAAATATTTGTAGTTCAGATGGAGAGGTTTATCTTAACAATAGTCGTTATGGCTTCAAACAAACCTGGTCCTTCTGAGCTCAAGATGTTCGTCTACTCCTTGTATTCGACCATTGTTATCTCCAAAGAATCTCTAATATCTGGTGGTAACACTGTTTTTGTGTGTTCACGATCGTGAAAAAGTGACATCGGTGACTGAGTACTGGTTTATGAATAATGCCTCAGCGATTTCTGCATCTCGCATTACATAATGTGGCTAGGACTGAGTAGAAGAACATTAGGATTGGGTTTAGAAAAGCTTCGTTATGTTAAAGTTAGCTGCATCAAACTAGCATCTCTCAGTACATCAAAACTCTCACATCTGGGGTCGTGGAAATGGTAAAGGTTAACGGCTACAAATACGATTAGATCTGACGCAGAACAAAGAAATGAGGCTTTACTTTTTCTACTCCAGTGGTCATAAAACAGAGATGAACTTTATGTGTGTGTTAAATCTTTCTTGGCAATATTTTTTTAACTGAATTACATCTTTGAATAAAGATAACTCTTGTTTATTTATTTGTCGACTGCACTATAGTTCCCTGCTGTATTCTGTCATTGGTGTAGCTCATTTTTGACGTCCTACGTGCATTTGGTCAAAAAATAAATGACCAAGTTAGGGGCTAGTATAATTTGGTGTTTGGTCTTATGATCTCTAACTTAATTTCACTGTAATCATAAAATATAGGTATTGACTCAACCAATATAACGACGAGAAACATTAAGCAACTATACTTGAAGCACACAATTCAAAATAATGAACTAGAGATGGTTAAATCTTAAGAAAAATATTTAAAAATTCGCTTACTTTTTCTTGATAAATTTTAAATTCATTTATTTTCTTTTTACTTAACTCAGCATTTGACATTTTTGCTTGTTCAATACAATTGCGAAATAATTCCATTTCTTCATTACGTTTATCGAGTTCTTTCATGCCAAGTTCAAATACTAAATTACATTGATGTGTAAATTTTTCTGAGAAGGTAGATTATCATAATTATCAATTTTGTCATCATTATTATTCATAATATTTATATAAATTGTATAAGTTAAGGTGAACAGTGCTGTTAGATGAAATGAACTGAACATTTAACAATGTACTGGTGTTTACAAAAGTTTAAGTTTCAAGCTTCAATGCTTCTCAATACTACTAGTTCAACAAGTATAGCATATTGAGTGGACGTGAATTCAGTAAGATCCATCTATTATAACTGTCGATGGTTCATAATATTGTCAGCTATCTCAAAGTCATTCCATATAAATCTAACACTAACTAAATAAATAATATATATATATATATATATATATATATATATATATATAATGTGAAAAAGAAAGTTTCCGGGAGTCTATCACATGCGAGTAACAAAATGTTTCTCGCAATGTATCAGATCCACCTTCAGAGTCTTTTCCTGATTTCTTTTCCAGCTGGAAGTTGGCTTGTCCTCTTCTACAGTAGAATGTTGCTGATGATGTCTGGTCAACGGACCTACGGCATCTTGCGTAGACGATTGTTAATAAACAACTGTATCTAATAGATGATGGCCTTGATGGTTCTCCAAGTTTCTGATTCATACAATAGTATTGTCTTGATGTCTGTATTGGAAATTCCAACCTTAGTGTTGGTTAACAGTTGTTCTGAGTTTCTGATGTTCTTCGACTGCAGCCTTGTTAATCCGGGCCTTCAAATCTACAACACAATCCCCTTCTTTATCAATCAAACTGCTCAGATATGTAAAAGTTTCTACCTCCTCCGTCAAGTGCGATTTGGTTGGTGCGCGTTGTGTTCTGTCGGAGGATCTTGCATTTCCCATTTGTATATTGAGACCTACTGGAGGCTTCTGCTACGTCAGTTGTCTTTTTCTACATTTGTTGCTGTTTCAGGGGATAGAATAGCCCGATCATCTGAGAAGTCCAAATCGTAAAGCTGCCTCCGAGCTATCCATTGTATCTCTTGATTAACCTGAGATGTTGGGGGTTTTTTTAATCCAGTCGGCCACCAAGAAAAAGCGAAAGGGTGAGAGTAAGCAAACTTGTCCGACAGCGGTCTTCACTTCAAACAAGTCTGTGAGCAGTCCTTCATGAACTATTTTTCAGTTTAATCCATCATAAGAATTCAGTATGATGTTGACTATCTTCCTAGGTGCACCATCCATAATAGTATCCTTTCCACGCTATTGAACGCTTTCTCGTAATCAAGGAAGCTGATGTACAGTGATGAGTTCCATTCAGTTAATTGTTCCACAATGATCCGTAGTGTCGCGATTTGATTGGTACACGATCGATCCTTACAGAATCCGGTTTCTCGACCTTGAAGTTGGGCGTCTACTGAAACTTTAACTGTCTGCATTTTTCTACTATTGGCTACAGTCTCTCATGAAATTGATCTATTTTAGGCTTCATTTTAAGTGTTATACAAAACGGCACAACCTCAAACGGTTATCCAAAAATAGTGTGTAAGTATTTAATATTGATCAAGTCAATCAAAAAAGGATATAATTCAATACTGTTGTACAATTCAGGGACTACCAATAACTCTCTGCCATCAGGATCATCAGTATATAATTTTTGAAAAATATTTTCATCAACTATACCATCAATAAATGCTTGTTTATATAATTCTATTTTAGCTTGATTTTCCGCAAGTTCTTTATCAGATTTTGCTTGAGTTTCTTCTTCACTAATAATTTCGTCAATTTCTAGTTGGTATTTTTCATAAGCTTTAGATTTCTGTAATAAAAGAAAACCAGATTTTTTGAGAGAAATCGGAAGATATGAAAATGACGAAACAGGGCGAAAATAATCAGCATAAACTGAAAGAAAGGAAAATGACACTTCACCTTTGAGACATCTGTGAGTAAGATATCCACTAGACTACAAACTGCTACATCGAGCCACTTCAATATATAAATCTACCAGCTGTCTGTTTTAGAGCATGTCTTATTGGTCCTAGAAGCCGTGTTCTTTACAGCATTGTTATATTTAGGTGAATGCAAATCACTTAATAGTTTTATCATTGAACATTTAATTAAATCTTTCTATCTCAACTAGAATATTCACTCAAAATTAATAAGACAAACTTGTTTTAACGCAAGTCGAATACGAAACTAGTTCATAGCAAAGGCTTCAAAGAAATTACAAGAAACGTGTACAATGCTTTATTTTATCATGGTCCTAACAATCGTTTCTCAAAACTGGATTTTAAAACTTCACTTGATAGTTGAAATCCTCAATTAGCTTTTTAATACCTTTGTGAACGACCAAACAATCATTGGTTTCATTATAATCTACTATGTGGAAAATAAACATGAATACAATTGTACAGCTTTATTAACTAACATTTACTGAAAGAAAAATTTCTCAGTGAAATGAATTTGCTTTGCTTGATTGTCAACAACTTTTTTCCATTGTCAATCATTCTTGAACATAAGTCAAATTGCTCTTTCGTTGCTATATGTGTGATATATTTGAGCATTTACATGATCTTGTGACATATGACTGACTTGTTACTATAATTGCATTGTTTGGAGTGATTTTTAAGTTTTAATGTTTATTTGCAATAATTTATATTTATAACTTGGATGGTATAGATATCCCTGACATTTTGTGGAAGTTGACAGATTTAACTACACTACTATTTAGTTTATCGTATGTTTTTTGGTAGACAACTAGAGCAAAGAAACACCTACTCTTTGATCTCACAATGACCCTTGTCAACATCTTAGACATCTCATGAACAAGGATCTGTACAATGCTCAGTTGATATTTTTGCTAAAAACACAGTAGTGTCTTATGGACAAATCCATTGTTCTGGTTTTCAATTCTTTTGTCTGAATCGTCCAGGGAATACAATAACAAAAATTTTAAAAAATAAAATAAGCAACGACCTAAAAGAATTGTGAAAATCAACTTACAAGTTGATCATCAGTTCTTTGATAATCTAAATAGCACAAATTAGGTAACATAGCATGAATATACAACTTGTAGTCATCATTTTCATTCACTGGATTACCATGTAAACATAATGATTGTAAATGACGAAATTGTCGCAAATATTTTATCTGTTAGAAATGAAAGTGTTTGTTTCAAGAAGAATTAATCAAACTCATTTTCTTATTCATCTAATGAATAAAAATCAACAATGGGATATTTATCAATAAAAAATGTAACGCTTTAATGTAGAGGTTGGTAGACAGCTTTTAAAGATCGTTCAATTGTTATGTTAGTTTACAGCACGGATTGATAATAGTAAATAAATGAGTCAAAACCAAAAGTCAAGAAATATCTTTTTTATGATTAGAATTAGATATCCTAGGTCCAATCTAATGTCCGTATGTATGAATCGTAATAACATTTACTAAACGGTTAACAGAGATATGTGAAATAACGTTAAGACCGATGACTAATAATGAATACTCACAAAAATAAACGACCTAATATCACAGACAGAAATAATAGTCAGAGGAAGAAACTTCCTTCGAATAAAACAATATGCTTAAGTGCAAATTATTTACAGTGAAATAAACAGCATTAAATTTTATAGGCGTCTGAATGTGTTCAGTTTCGCACGTCACTCCAGTGGATTAGAACCTGATTGTAACTCTTAATTATTGCCCATAGTATCACTATGAAACGATATGCAATACTTTTTTGATCAGTCAGTCTATTAAAAACTAGAACATCCTACCTGTATACGTAAGTTCATGTTGCCATACCGAATCAGCACACAGACGCAAACGTCACTGCAAATCTCATAGTGGTACAGGTAGTAGAAATATTAGCGAAAATGGAGAAGATTAGGATTCAAAAGTATTTTTCAAGAAGTATAATTCAGTGGGAAAAATTTAGAAAGAGAAAGATAGAGGTGATGAGGAATTCAGACGATTATCACTCAGTAAAACACAAAGTGCGGATGCACCTGCTCCATGGCACACGATTTTGAGCCACGTCATTCAAACCATCAATTAGCATCGCCTCGCGGACCCCAACCAGCTAGTCTACACCTACCAACATAACTCAGTTCACCTGTCATTGACATCAAGGATTTGTGCCATATTGTGGTCTGGCCACCCCTAGCTTTCTTACAGCCTAACCCCACACCACAAAACATTGCTCGTCGAGGCAGTCGCTGGTTGGGCATACGTAACATATGTCTCAACCTCGTCAACCAATCAAGCTTAATCTATTGATTTGCCATCCTTGCCTAGTGCCGGTTTTCTAACAACAGCATTGCTTACTCGATTGTCCCAGCATAAACGAGCATGCTTCAAAGACATCGATGATCGAAAATCAGTAACCGACAAATGCCATCCCTACTAACTGGCCATGTTTCACAACCACAGAGCAGAGTGGAGCGAACTGATGTGCAGTATACTCATCCTTTGGTTAGAAGACGGATATCTCATCTACGCCAGTCCAGTCTTCTGCATCCGTGCTGAGGTTTCGTCACACACCAGGCCATCAGCACTGATGAGACTCCCGAGATAAGTGAAGCGGTCGACAAACTCAACTACTTCATTCACCATCACTAGTTCAGGTGACGACGCAAGTCGATCCTGAACCAACATTCTGCATATCAGTGGAGAAAATTGCATCTTCCACATGTTCGCATTGTTGATCATGGTAGTCAGAAGACTCTGCATTTTGTCATTGTCTTCACTAGATAGAACTATATCGTCGGCATATTCTAAGTCAACAAGTGAATCTCCTGGTAAAAGTTCAACTCCTGAAAACTCACACGATGAAAGTGTCGTTGCTGAAAGCATGTTGATGACAAAGTTGAGTAGGAATGGAGAAAGTCGACAGCCCTAACAGACACCACTCGAGGTAGTCAACTAGCATGACTGTTCGCCATAAACTCTCACTCGACTAGTAGTGTTCGAGTAGAGAGTTTGTATGAGGTTATCATACTTCCTTGGTACACCCTTGAATGACAGACAGTCACAGAACCTCACGGTCGACAGAGTTGAGTGCCACCTTAAGGTCTATGTTCTAGGACCTGAGTAATTGTGGATTTTTGTTTTATGCACTTTCTTTATTGAGGCAACTGGAGCCCATTTGCTTAAAGTTTCTAAATATTTTTCGCGATATACATGCTAATCGTAAGCATGATAAATATACTTATATGCATCTCTAAGTCTATGAATCTATGAACCTGTGTTACGTCTTTATTTAACTACTCCAAGTTTTTTTCCATTCTAATTGCCAGTAATCGGTTATACGTAATAAATAAGCCAGTTCATTTGACGAGTACTTACTACTTCATCAACTGATTGGCTAACTTTACAACACTAACTTGATGGAGAAGCTTTGGAAGATGTTGGTCATCATGTTGGATCTGATGCAGATGGGAAGGCGTGGATCGGTAAAGCAATGGTAGCATTTCTACAATTGAAGGACATCTGGAACTCGAGACAGCCATCAACCAACACCAAAGTCAGAATTTTCAATACAAATATCAAGACAGTTCTGCTCTACAGAGAGGGAACTTGGAGGAACACGAAGGCCATCATCAAGGAAGATACAAGTATTTATTAACAGTTGTCTAAGCAATATACCTCTAATCGGTTGACCAGACGCCATCAGCAATAACACACTGCAGGAGAGAACAAACTAGATTGCAGCAGAGGAAGTAGCTCTGGATGTGAATACGATACATAATGAGTAACGTACCAAACTACTTTACAAAACAAGCCCTCACTTTGAATCCTGAGGGTCGAAGGAAAACTGGAAGACCAAAAAGCACATTACGCGGAGAAATGAAGACAGACGTGAGAAGTATGAATAAAAATCGGACTCAACTGAAGAGGAAGGCTCAGCACATTAAGAGCTACAACAGTTCAGAATGGGGTTTCCGGTCAGCAGGAATTGGCGTTGCGGGGTAATAAAGGAATTTGAGAACGGTTGGTCGTTCAAATAAGATAGATGTTAGATGTTTTGTAAGGATTTGAATGTGACTAATTTGGTTTCATGTGCTTTTACGAGTATGAGAGCAGTTGTCACTTACCTATTGAACACACCATAGAAAGGTGCATTTTAAAAAACCTAAAATGGGAGTTAGATGGTCTTAGAGTCCTAAGGACAATTGCTTCAGGCCGGTCACACACGGCTTCTGCATGGGATGTTTTGGATTTGTTAGCTCCACTTTTTTAATGGCCTTACCGCTGGAGAGGGAAATCCACGGGTACGGTGGGGTGTGACAGTTTTAGGGTTGACCTTTTCTAAACCCTTCTCGCCTTGTGAGAGGGCAGCATCACTGAAGATACTGGTTATCTGAGGGAACCACCTTACTGCTGTTATTCACCTCCACATTCAGCAGTACGACTTCGCCTTCAGACCTTGAGCAGCTGCTTTTAATATCACCGTTTTCTAGTTAACCTGCTTGGCATGGTAGAACCTACAGTTACATATGTTGCAGTCAATATAGCTCACTTTGGTTATCACGATAGTCAAGTCCGACTACAACATCAAGGTAGCAGCTACTGTCTGGATCCTCATATGATAACTCCGCCTGTAGACCATTCGGGGCTTCTGCCTGTTCCAAGCCCGGATATAAAGGAGGAGGGTTGGGATAATCATAATTAACAGCAACGTACGAAGTTCTACGTTGCTGTTGACTGTTTGATGGATTGATTGACTTTTATGATAACATCCATAAAAAGGTTATTCTCTTGAGTGGCTGCCCGGTTTGAAGTAAATGGAGTGAATCAAAGACCAAACTTTTAAACCATCACTTCCTACTAAATAATTGAGATATATCCAATTACAAATGCTAGTAACTCATGACACAGAATTTCACTAAGGTAATACATTGTTGATGACTGTTTTATTATTGTTTTCAACAATTAAATCGGTTCGCCCAATGAATAGATTATCAAGTGTTTAAAATCTAATTTCTGAGTTGTAACTTGAGTTATTCCTTTTGTTAAAAATTAAACTCGTATAATATATATTTTATTAGGTTATTAATCTGAGTTAAATCAAACTTTGCAAATTCATATCTACTGTCACATAACAAGATAAACTTAAGTATGCCTTTTGCAAGTTCGAATACAATTCCGTAAGACTGGTTAACTTAAACAATATACTGAGTTATCATTGCTAAAAATTATTATTCTTACATAGTCATTCAACTAGTAACGAGAATTTAACTGAATTGGTACTGAGAGAATAACTGTAACATAGGCAAGTGAGTAGACTTCATTACATAGAGAACTAAGTAGATTATTAGCAATAAAATTATTGGTGAACTTGTAGTATGTCAAAGTGTTGAAATTTAAATTTCCAATGTTTAGCATTTTAGTGTAAGCCAGTGTTCTTCGATGTAAAGTGCAGCGTCGTAGGCTATAATGTTTTTTTACAAATTGAGATGGTTACAAATATATCATACGAAACAATGTGACCGAGGATGGCAATGACATGTTCAGACCTGTTATGACTTCACTAATACTAAGATGCTCTGTCTTGTTTGCTTTTTACTACTTAAAAGTATTAATTTATTTCGGTTATCTATTTACGCCTAAAAGTTGACTTACATTCAGTTATGAAACGTTACAAATAAAAATTTCTACATCACAGGGACATCACCAAAATACAATTATTCTGTAACATTTAGATTTGTAAATCGTCATTGTTTTATTTTAGAACCAACGGAATATTTTGTAAAGTTCCATTGGTAATTATGTTAAGTACTATTAGTTAGTAGGAGCTGCCTGTTTTCAAATGGTCTTGAAAAAATTTAACAGCACATTTTTAGATCAGTTATTGATAATTACACCGAACACTAATAAAAGATGAAAAAAATTCATTCAACTTTTAAATTTGGTTGTTTGAATTGTTTAGTTGATAAATATTAATATAGCACAGCAAATTCATCATGTTTACTTACTAAAAGATGGATTTAAAATAATAGCAGAACATTAAGACGAAATGAAAATTATTAGTCGATGATCGCGTTGTGAGAAAAAAGTGTCATAGATTGGAAGTCTAACGCGAGGTTGATCGTCACACTACAGTACAGTGGACTATATTTTATCATTAGCATTATTGTATCACTTAATAATCTAAAGAAAAATCATAAACGCTCGTTCTTACCATCTAAACTCTTAAGTACATATTACTGAATAAATTTACCTACATTTGATAATTCAGTAATATAGTTGTTACCAACTGAAAATACTTGTAAATTTTTCAAATTTTCCATATTTTCCAATGACGTTATATGGTTACTGTACAATGACAAATCTTCCAAATTTACCAAATTTTGTAAGCCTTCAATTTTTTCGATATTATTAAATGACAAATCTAAAGTATTATAAAAATAATTATTATATTCCACCATCAAATTACATTCTCTTACCAAGCCAGCGTAAGTGAATTAAATGATCAATACCTTCAATTCGTTCAATAATATTATTATCAAGTTGTAACTTAACAAGTAACTTAAATGCCCACAGATTATCAATTTTTAAAATATCTAGATAATTGTTTGCATCGAAAATAGAATTGGAAGCTAATTTACTTTTATAATCCAATCTTAGATGTTTAACATTTTCAAAACGGATTCCATCTTGTTTAGCAAGTTGGCTCACAGTTCCTTTTTCCAATAATGAAAATATAGCATCATTCAATAATTGTTTATCAATCACTGTTGGTTCAAAATTGTCATATAGTCGACTCATCTTTTTGAAATCTGGGGAAATGAGAAAACGGATAAAGTACCTATAAGTAATAAAGAAAGATTAAGAAGCAAAATGTCGATGAATATTGGTTGATATTTTCATTTCACTTCATAAATTTACTTACTATAACTAAAATAGGGGATAAGGATTATTTGTCTGATGTGGCAGACAGATTTTCGGATGAGAAATCTAAGGCATCACTTATAGATGCAGTACATCTATAAGAGACATCTCTCATGTTCTCTCTTTTGGCTCAATGTTTGAGTTCTGTCGATAGGAACCTAAGCTAGATTTATAAATGAGTCTATACCCTTAAAAACTAATGCAAAACTACTTCCGCACAAAAAGTTAACAGTATTATCTGTAGGTAACCTTAACCCTAAGTAGGATGTTATGTAATACTGTGACGTTCACCCTAAAACATCGATGATAGCTGGTCACGAGCGATTGTCTATATAGCTCTTTGGTTATACAAATAGGTTTTGCCATCTAAGTTACTTTTTCAATTTAGCTTAATGAACAACTGAACTGTGTCTGTTCAGTAATGTGGAGAAGCGAATCGGCAATAAAAGTATACACTTTAACTTCCAAACATTTCCAACGTCTTCAGACGTTTGATCCTGGAATTATTCACAGAATTAATCTAGTAAGCATCAACTAGAAGGCGCGTATGAGGAGTAACTTTAACTAAAAACAACTTCTTCACATGATAGTGAGACATGAGAATTAGTTAATTGCCTCTTGAAATGCAAGTTCAAACTGTGAGCTGAAGGAAGAATTACTAGATAGATTTAACATCTGGTCTTCAAGTGGTTGATGTTTATAGAAAACTTTGATGCTCCGGAGGCAGAGTGGAAAACTCTGATGACTCAATTGCTAGAAAATTCTTTTGAACAAAATTTAGTTGATTTAATTATTACATTTTTCCCAATGCAATGCATGAAAAAAGCAACTAGGTGCAAGCCGGGCTCCAAATAATCTTTACTAGACCTCATATTTACTCATCAAGATGACGTCACAAATGCGATTATATGCCATCCCTAGGTGAGTGACCATACAATTCCAGTGTTTGACTGCCATATCATGGTCAAAAAAGATGTGTCAGCTCAGTACAGATCAAATATTTCAAAAGCAAATATTCAACAGAACCGGAATTACACACCAAGGAGATTTGGGTGTTTACAAATTGGTACTTGAAAGTTGCCGCACTGAGCGTACCCTGGACTGTTCCAAGAATTCGAGACCTAAGCACTCATTTTATTACACAAACCAAATGACTGAGGAGAGGTGACATCACGGAATTATGGGAAGAATGTCGTATCACATCATTATTATGGTAGAGCCCAGGTATCCTCTACTTACTTTAACAATGTGTATACTGTAGAAATGCCCCTTTTCTTAACTAATGCAAATCCACCCATACACATCGTACGTTGTGGCAATTAAAAAGCTCCATGACTAGTTTGTTAAACAAACTTGATATGGGTAAATCTATGGGACCCGAATAAATACAACCTACATCACTAAAAGAATTACCAAATCTTATCGTAAACCACTTTAGTATAGGTTAACTCAACCTGCAACCCAAGATAGACTTCCAAAAGTTTATGAATACATCATACTTAATCTCGTCTTTGAGATACGTATGAGTAGCAAACGTGGGAACCATCGACTTATTATTCCAATCGGCCTCGTTGTTAAGATTTGAAAAAAGATTATTTGCCAAGAGTTGTTCAAGAACATAGATTAAAACCGGATTCTTTCTGACAATCAGAATGAATTTAGAATAAGATTTTCATGTCTCACAAAGTTATTAGTAGCCTACAGAAATTGGTATGAGCTTAAATAGCGAAATCTATCTATGTATACGGCCTTAATTGACCTAATAAAAGCTTTTAACAAAGGTTCACATAGCTCGCTGTTATTAAAGTTAAGTCGGAATCTCGTATAAGTTGTATATGTGTGTTGACGATTTCCTGGATGTGTTTCAACATAAAGTAGGAGTTAACTCTAGTTGCCCAGCTGTGAAAAGGTGCTTACAGTGATGCCTCGGAGTAGTTTCGGAATCAGCGTTATTTCGCTCCTATGTAAATGACCTTAACAAGGTGGTCAGAAGACTATGCATTTTGACTGCTTCTTTATTAAATAGAAATATGTCATCGGCGTATTCTAAGTCAACAAGTGGCAAAAGCCAATCGAGATTTTGGTATCCGTGCTGAGATTTCATCAGTCACCAGGCCGACAGCACTAATGAAACTCCCAACATAAGTGAAACGGCCAGCACTCCTAAGTACTTCATGCTCTGGTAGGTCAACTCTTAAAAATCCAGAAGATAAAAACGCAACGATAAAAGCAACGTTATTACAGATTTTAACCGATTCAGTGATATATATACATCTAACATCCTTTTACCCCTGTCACCCTAAAAAAATGTTACGGGACATCCTTGAGCCATCATCCCTAAACATCTCTCTTATCTACACGACTCACCCGACTCACATTCGTTTAAGGTCCAGCTCAGAACTAATTATCGCTTTCGAATTCGACTCTTAGTTATAAACGTTGTCACAAATTTTAATGTACTGTCGATAAGCAGTAGAAACAATGTAAATGTGGTCTTCATCGGGAAGCCGCTTTTAAAACAGATTGTAATCAACTCACTTATCTGCCTTCGCAGAGTTTACAAGCAGCTCCATATTATAGAGTAATTAACTACTACTTCTAATATTAGGTCCTGAACAATACTTTCCGAGAAGCGCTGAAATATATATCACCCAGAATTGATTAAGGTTACGAATCACGCAAACTTGATGTTGTTGGAAAGAATTAAGTGAAGAAATATGACTAGTCTGTTAAATTTGTATTTCGATTAAAAACCGAAATGCTGACATCATCACCAGAGTATATCAATAAACAATAAATTTTTAAACTCACCAAAATCACCTAAATAAGAGTATTTATTCAGCTAACCAATTATTTTGAAATGTGTAAACCAAAAGCTAGTCAGTTCATACTGTTGTTAAAATTACATTCCCTTAATTTCCTTAGGACTTTATGCTGAATTAATTTCGATAATTACTGCAGAAAGTAAGAATGTAAAATATCTTTTCTCCCTAAAGTAAAGATTTGACAGAAAAATCGATGAACTCAACAGATTCACAAAGTAATCACTATAGCTTCAAAATTATGCGGAGCGTTTAAACAAATCGGACTGACTCAATGTTCAATATCATAAATGGTCATATATTAAATACGTACCATGTGTAAACAAATTTTGGACGCCAAATGCATGTCATACTACAGCTACTGTAAACGTAAATGATCAGACAATATGAGAATTACAACAATTCGGCTGCTAGTACATTCCATGGAGTGAATAACAAATTAGTTTAAACTGGATTGTTAAGGATTAACATGTGAACATCCCATGAATATTATTAGTATCAATAATTATAATTTATACTCAGATAAAAAATTTTACGTAAGGCATGCCAATTTACAGGCAAGATGCAAACGTTGAAATTGCTGTCACGTTTACTGTAAAACATTGTTCAGTTTGATGAATAGTTCATAAGATAAATTGGCTTTTTAGAAGGTTGAGATTTTTCACACAAAATTGTAGATAATGTTTCGGACTCTGCAATGTACTATACGATGTTTGACGCAAACTATGTCGGTTGCATTGTGACGAATCATTGCTTGTTGAGAATTAATGCGAGTTAAATTCAGGTCTGCAAATAACAAGAAGTTATGAAGTTAATAAGTGAGCTTCTAGTTGAGATTCGCCAAATAATAATTCGACAGACTCCTGGGTAAAGTAATCGAGTCTTTGACGATATCAGGGATAATAATTAAGGCGTGAAATGAGGTGCTGAAAAGTCGAAAGAAGGGAAAGAAGGGAAGAGCACTACAGAAAACATTCTTGTTTAGAGCTGATTAATGAATCAGCAGATACTTTTAGGACGAAACAAAGGTTTGATTACTCACACCTTTATTTTCCGGTAGCTAGAACACAAACCTTATACCTGCACATATGTAGGTTAATGATGAGAACTTATCTATACTAATAACAACAAGAAGTCTCAAGTGATCTCATCTTCACCGTGATTGTCCAAATCTGCTGGTAATTGGGTTTGTTGGTAGAAAAGGTAAACCAGTTCAAGGTTACAAACATTAGTCGAGCAGTGGTTGATATGGAAAAGTAATGTCAATATTCCTGATTAGAAACTTTTCCATGTCTTAAAGAGATGTGAGCAGACAAAATGTTATATTGGATTACCATGAGAATATCACCTTCGTCGTTTTTGTATGTACACTGACAACACACTTCGGTCACGTTGCTTCTTTACTCTCCGGTAGCCATGTATTTTTCGATGACTCATTAACTTCGCTTATTTCTCTGGCACGCGTCGGTGTTTCATCGAGACCACGATATCTCCAGCAAATACACCTTTTTTATTTGGTGTATCACGTCTTCTTCCTTCACATAAAAGATCTGGGACGACTTGTGACATCTGCATCCAATTAGTGTACAAACGTGTGCATATTCTCGTGACACGAACATCGACAATAACATTACGGATATTTTAATTAAACATTCGAATCTTTAATGCATTATTTTCAGACCATCCTATATACTATTAATTCAGAACAACCGAATCACAGTGGAAGCTGAGCATCGAGGTGAATTATTTTTCAAAGAAGGGTTTCTCATAATCATAGGATATGCCGTATCCTACATTATAAACTGTGATGACAAACAGTAGCATTCATGTCAGCTTGATATACCTGGTTGACATTCTGGTTTCGACCAATTCGAGCATAGCAATAAAGTGGACTTTCGTTATCGTGCTAGTTTGTGTTTTCCCGGTTCAAACTGCTCCCGTTCTACGTGTGTTGCGTTTTCTGGTACTTATATTTCGAACGCCGTCTACAGATCTCGGATACAAACCAGCTTCATGTGGGAAGCCGACTTGAGCAGCAAACACGGCACGTTACTCCTGTGTATATGACTTTCGATGACAACTCGAGCATCATTGATACTTCCTGTCGGTTGATTCTAACAGCAGCACGATTGCACTTCATTCCTACGGATGATACCGCTGTGATTCGAAAGTTTTACCAGTTTATAGAGCCAAGCTGCTCAAGTGATTTTAATTTTATGAAGAACATATGGTTGGCACGAGTCGGTGTTTCTCTGAAAGCACCAAATCGCCGGCAGATAAACATATTTCATCTGGTCTACGCCGTGATGGTAAAGTGTAATAGGTGTTTTCGTGGAATAAAATTTCTGATTTAATAGCCTTTTATACTTATAAGATATTTCGAAGCTAAACTAACGTTAATCTTTTTAACGCCAGTCGCGTTTAAAGTTTATTTAACCCTTAACAAGATCGCTCTTATCTAAGCGTAGCCAAATCAACCTGGCGCAGAAGAAACTGCCTTAAAAATCAGCAAAGAAGGCCAATTACATGTCCCCGCCATTTAACAGTTCGATCCATGTGTGTCAATGCCGTTAATAAACGATGTTATGCCTTGTTCGAATTCCTTATTCGTTAGAGTCATTTTTACTAGAAATGAGTTAAAATTGATTTTTTCTACTAAGTTTGTAGTATAGGTTGATTCACGTTATTCATATTCTGAAAATCGAATGGATTCGTTGTCTCAAAAGTTGATCTCCTTTATAACTTGTCATATTAGGTTAGGTTATAACTACCACTCTTCATGAACAGAATAGATGAAACATGGGACTAGGAATGTCACAGTCTGAAAACGCTTTTGTTCCGAAACACTAAAAAACGAGTCTCTAGCTCAGTCAAACCAGTAATGAAAAAAAGAATAATATGTGTGAAAGATGTTTGGGATGTCAAGGAATAGTTAACGAAGCTTGTTAGATGATGCGAGAGTATGTGTAGCATATCGTCTTGAAGAGTGGTCTGGTGCAAATATGTGGTGAGGCGCTTTCATCAAGGGCAGCTTTGATGTCGAAGACATACGGAACCATTTATTTTGTGGATTTGTTTACCTATACGTGACTTTTTCGCTCTTGCCAATTTTGTATTTGTTAACTAAAATCCCTGAGAGTCATCAGTGATATCAAACTACCAGGTCCTTGCATCTCAGTAATAAGAGTGTTAGTATAGATAGTGCCTAAACTTTCACCATTCTCAAAAATATCTCCTACTTGTGTGTTGAAACCACTTAAGTAAAAAAAACCAAGCGAATTCGTGTTACGTCCAGTTTTCTGCTCGTCGATCTTACGAAGCACTGTTGTCGTCTATTGGTAATTCAAGGTCCCAAATTTCTATACCAAGAACGAAACTCCAAAGTAGATACCAAAGTTTATTCCAAATCACAAATTCCACCAAAATAATTTATTACAAATAGACGACCAATGTCGTTCTAACAACAATAATTATAATAATTACAGTTACCTTCTAATTTATTATCTCTTGGAGCAAAAAACTGCAACGAACAACAAAGAGAAACGAGAGTCCAATATGTCCGCAAAAAATAATTCAAACAAGTTCATAAGTTAAGTAAAACAAATGTACCCAAAAACAGTGAAATTAATGATATTTATACATGAAGGTTTTGATCAGCAAAATGTCTTCGTTTCTCCCGTAACACTCCCGACCAAAAGAACCTTGGTTCTTTTCACCGACAAAAATATATAACAACAATCCAAGTATGTGCATCACAAGCAATCAACAACAAGCATGCAATATTTCAACAATCTCGTGATCCCTAGGACTTACACCAGTACGCCTAGGGATCCGAGTAGCTACCTACCATCTACCGCTTCAAGAAGACACAGTTTACGTATATCTCTCACTAGGATCCCCTTTCTTGTCCTTAGTTCTACCTGTCTCACTAGTCTGTCCTTACTTGGTATCACTCTCTGTACTAGACCTAAGGGCCACTTGTTTTTCTCAGAGAAGTCAGAGCATATCATTACTAAGTCACCTTCTCGTATGTTCCTCTCTAACTGTGTCCACTTGTATCTACGCTGCAACAGTGAAACATATTCCTTAGACCAACGTTTCCAAAATACTTGCGCCAAGTAACTCGCTTGCTTCCATCTCTTAGAATACCTGTCATTAGATACAGTGTCGGTAAATTCTGCAACATTCTCTCTCAATAGTAATAGTTTTGCTGGTGTTATTGCATCAAGATCCCTGGAGTCGTCTGTAACGGGAACCAAAGGTCGATTGTTTATTATACGCTCCGCCTCTATCATAAAAGTTTCAAGGCATTCGTCTGTTAAAATTTGTTCCTTTACAAGAGCACCCAATACCCTACGTACAGAGCGAATCATGCGCTCCCACACTCCTCCCCAATGACTAGCGGCTGGAGGATTGAAATGCCAGTCAATTCCCTTTCTTAGTAAATCAGAGTGTATACGCTCCTGAACCCAACCTTGAAGACATTTTCTTAATTCACGTTCAGCTCCCACCAGATTTGATCCATTATCACTATATATCTCCTTTGGATAACCTCTTCTGCCGACAAATCTCATTAGTGCCATGATATTTAATATATGTTAGCGTAGGTTTTATAGTTTTTTAGAAAGTTGGTGTAGCTAGAGATCCAATATCCAATATCCAATATCTTTTTCACGAGCTAGTGTAATCCAATTTGATTTCTTCGCGCTCGATTCTTGTTCTTTCGGTACGGTTCCAGGTGTTCGGTAATGTCCAATGGATGGAGGTCTAGCCACTCGACTGTCTAATTCTAGTCAGTTGGCAGTTGGTTGTGAGTTTGTATGTCTCGGGATTTGAATGAAACGTTTTTTTCAGGGCAGTAGGGTTTCTGGATACTAGCAGCCGTCACATTACCAAACCGGAGATCAGTTAGTTGCAATGTGAAGAGTAATAAGGGTAATAAGTGTAAATTAAAATGATAATATGAGTAAAATTTCAGAACTGATGAATTTTGTTTATTAATTGGTAGTGAAGATTGTGAGAGAGGACCGAAGCGTAAGCAGGGGAGAGGAATAGGCGAGTTAAATTAATTAAGTGATCTGAGGAGATGGCAATGGTAACAACTAGCAGGTCTCAAGATATGCATCAGGCACAGCTTGTACAAGAGGGAGATGATAGTCCGTATGTGAGTACGTGATTATCAAGTCTCTTCTTAAAGCAGTCCACTGAGGGAGCTGTAACTACCTCGGC